CAAGTATAGGAAAAGGGGTTTTTTTTTTTTTTTTGAGGGGGACCCGCTTCCCGTTTGGGAAAGGGAGGGTTTTCTTTTTTTTTCCAACGACCAGCACCTTCCAACGGGGTAAAAGTGGAATGGGGGGGGCAGATCGGGATATGAATCTCGTCAAATACAACCACGAATTCTTCGTCGTTGTCGAAATGGTCCAAGTTGCCGGAAAGGTCCACAATTCCAAGTCTCAGATGCGGCGATCGAAGGACCTGGTATTCAGCTTCCAGAATCACTTCAGGGTTCACGTTGGGACGGTGCGGTCCGAAAATTCCTATAGCGTCCATAGTGGGTTTGTATCAACACTGATCAGCCTTCATTTGATGTCCAGCTTATATACTTTTTCGGCGCTCAAGCCGTTCAGGAAATTGCACAAAATTACACAACTACCTACTACGGGACACGGGACTGGACTTTCCAAAGTAACCCTTTCACTACCTGCCCATGGATGGATGCCGGTATTTCCCTAGGAAAGGACACAGGGGCATTGCCCTTGATACCTACCGTGTCTCCCGCCACCACGCGCCTTTTTGGCAGCCCCTCCCTGGAACCATAGTAGCTGTCTCTGCCGCGGCCCGCCACCCACCTCCCACACACGGCATGTGGATGCAATTGCGGCAGATTGCTCCTAGAATAGGAAACCAATTCTTGTATCCATGCACAGGTTGTGATGTGTACCAGCAAAGACAATATAAGTATAAGTATAAGTATCTCATACATTTCAATTGCCATATGCAAGACAATTTTTCGGCCAGCGACGAAATTCGCGCCATCTCGCTCGCACAAATTTGAGAGCGTACGAATCTATAAAGTTTAAGAGTATAAAAAAGTAGGTGCGCCATTAAATATTTTTCGGTACTACTTTTTACCAATTATTCCAATGTGAAGTCATGTATAAAATATATTATGTACTTTTATATATGTACATATATCCGATAATTACACTACTCGACAAAATCGAACTTTTTTTTTCCTCAAGGATCCAAACCGACTTTTTCTGATAGATATGGGGCTTTAAAATTTTTTAAAGAATTATGGTTTTTTTTCTATGGCAGAACTTTTTTTGAAGAATTTTTGAAGTCTGGTATTTTTTTTTAAAGTTTTTTTCAGAGGTAGCGCTTGTTTTCACATTACTCTAGTATCTTACGTCTGGTTGTAAAGAACTTTGCTATTTTGAAAAGATAATTGAAACAGCTAGAAGTTGATGCCAAACACTTTGTGATTACAGCTTACCGTCTGGGAAATATAAGGCATTGAAATGCTAAAATGAATATTTTTGTGGGTATTTTTTACGAAATTTTGACTTTAAAAACTCAGGAAAAGTCAAAAAAAAATTATATCTTGTGTCCTCTATTTTTTTGTGTATAGGTGCGTTAATTTGGCGTTGGCGTTAATTGGCAGTTGGGCCCGCCGCCTTCAAAAAGGTATTTTTTGTTCATTTTTTCCATATTTTAGGTTTGGTTAACGAATTTTAGCTCCAAAGTCTCTCCATAGATTTTAATGAGCGATACCTTAAACGACGCCAAATTAACGCACCTATACACAAAAAAATAGAGGACACAAGATATAATTTTTTTTCGACTTTTCCTAGTTTTTAAAGTCAAAATTTTGTAAAAAATACCCCACAAAAATCATCATTTTTGCATTTCAATGCTTTATATTTCCAGACGTAAGCTGAAATCACAAAGTGTTTGGCATCAACTTCTAGCTGTTTCAATTATCTTTTCAAAATAGCAAAGTTCTTTACAACCAGACGTAAGATAGAGTTATGTGAAAAAAACAAGCGCTACTCTAAAAAAGCTTAAAAAAAATACCAGTTTTCAAAAATTCTTTAAAAAAAAGTTCTGCCATAAAAAAAAAAAATATCATCAAACCATTTCTAAGCCCCAAATCTTTAAGAAAAAGTTCGTTTTGTTCCTTGAGGAAAAATCGTGTTGACTAGTGTTATTATCGAATATACCATGTTAAAAGAAATTATCATTGGAGGGATATACAATAAAAGTTTTTTAATATTGGGGTGGTAGCGTCTTGCAAAATTAACTTACACTTATAAAGTGAAAGGGTATATTTCGACAGCGCTGTAAGAAACGTATGCATGTGCACACATACAGTGTGATTTTTGACACTCATAACATACACACATATGCATACTTTTTGCCCATTCTTCTTTGCTCTATGCTCCTCTCCTTCTCTTTTGTAACAACAGAATTAAAAGTTAAGCGGCACGCGTCACGGCACGCGTCATTTTATTATGTATGCAGACTTGCTTTAATGTATATCAATGATATATTTGTTTAATTAATACTTTTGATTTGGCTTCACTTTTCAGGGAACAGGCACTGAAACTTCAGCAACAAAAAGAGATGCAAATACTGGAGAGAAGGCTCCAAGAGAAGCATCGTCAGGAGATGGAGGAGCTCAAGCTGAAGCAGGAGAAGGAAATGGCAGAGAAGAAAAAAAACTTGCAGGAGCAGCAAGTGAATCAACTCCAAGGAATTCAAAGCATCCGGAGCATGCAGGAGCAGTTGGCCATATTGTCAACACAACTCTATAAGCCCCTGTTGCCTTTATTGGAGGAGGAGGTCGAATCGGCTGCAGTAGAGGCTCCTTTGGAGTCGCCTGCAGTCGAGGAGTTCGAGGAATCTGCCGCAGTACAGTGGCTATTGGAGGATTCGCCGATCGTCGAGGAGTTCGAGGTCGAATCGGCTGCAGTAGAGGCTCCTTTGGAGTCGCCTGCAATCGAGGAGTTCGAGGTCGAATCGGCTGCAGTAGAGGCTACTTTGGAGTCGCCTGCAGTCGAGGAGTTCGAGGAATCTGCCGCAGTACAGTGGCTATTGGAGGATTCGCCGATCGTCGAGGAGTTCGAGGTCGAATCGGCTGCAGTAGAGGCTCCTTTGGAGTCGCCTGCAGTCGAGGAGTCACCAACTTCTGCTGGCCCTGGAATACGGGACATTATAGCCTGGCAGAGTGTTAAGAATCCTAATATTCCAAATGAGCAGCAGGAACTCTCCGGAACCGGACGAATCGCGCTGGCAGCGTTGATCAAAGATCGGCCCCCACTGCACTCGCCTGTCAGAGGAAATCTCACATTTTTTTAAGGCCGAAGATAAGAATTACTGGGACAATTCGCTTCGGTACGGCAAAAATGGCCGAGCCGAAATAGAGTCAGGTTATAAAATAATCAACAAAGTCTACCACTGCTCATTTGATTGGATGTGCGGGTATAAAACAAAATTTAAATATCATATGACGTCACACCTAAAAGCGCACAGGGGTGTAAGGGATTTTGCCTGCGAGTAAGTATATGAAACTTCAAAATATTTATATTTATAAATTTATACCTTTTTCCAGACTTTGCCCGCTAAATTTGTGCAATCTTCCAACATGAGAGGCACATGATGCATAAGCATTCAAGCGAACAAAATTTTTCTTGCAATGAATGCCCAATTGTGGTGAAAACAGCGGAGTCGCTTAGGAAGCATGAAAGAACTGTTCATGGACATGGGCAGTCGAAAACATGCGAAGTTTGCAACAAGAACTTCACCTGTTTGGATCGCCTGAGGAATCACCAGGCAAAGATTCATTCAACTCCCGAGGACCGCCGTAAATATTTTTGCGAATTGTGCAATAAGCATGGACAAAATTTTGCTTTTCACAGTTTAACCAAAGAGCATCTTAAGAGGGTGCAAATGAATGAATCATTGAATAATAAAAAAAAATAAAAATTAAATAAAACAAACTTTACTTTGTTCCTTCTACTTTAGGGTCTTAAACTCGGATTATAATTCGCTCTACTCTACCATATAATATCCACTACTAATCCCCTTCCTCTTCTTAAATTACTAATACTAACATACCTTTCCTCTAATTAGTATTAGTTCTTAGCTATCTTTGCATGATTAGCTCTTTTAGTTTGTCTAGCTCTAATTGCAGTTAACTTATTTGAATTGCACGCAATAAAAAAGAGCAATCAAAAATACTGGCAACCAACACTGATATATATATATAATAATACAACACTGATATATATATAATAATACAACACTGATATAGTTTTGCAACTCAGCCGAGATTTGCAAATCAGCGGAAATTTTAAACCATGTACGTATGTATGTCTGTACAAGTATGTATGTATAGAGAAAAAGAGAGTGCATGCGATCGTGTGTTTCGTTTCTGTGGCCTTATAACTGTTATACAAGCCCTCCTAACACGCACACACACACACCAACAATCCATTCACACACGCCTTCCTCTGACTAAGCCCGTGAGAGCTCTGATTGATGAGAACATCGTAGGTCAGGTCAGTGATATGGGTGGCACGACTGTTCGTGCTTCTGTGTGGATAGGAATCGTCGCTCCGTCGGGGCACCTCGGCATTGGCATCCGTCGCCGTCAGGTACACGAAGCTGGAGTGGTGCACCTCCCCCCTGCGCTGGCCATGTGCCTGACCGATCTGAGCGACCAGTTCGCCGGTCTCCCCATTGCTACTGGTGCTGGGATTGGCGCTGCCCAGCACCGCCGCACCCGGCGATTCTTGAGGATGAGGTAATGCCTTCTTGTTGGGTACTGGCCGAGCCAGTGGCGTCTGACCTCGGCGGCTGAGTCCTGCGACGCGAGGCAAAAAATTTCTCTTTGGCTGGCCAGCGGGTGGATGTGAAGCAGGTGCCGGATAGGGCGCAGCCGCAGCAGATCGGGCTGCTGCCATGGTCGGAGGATGGGAATTGCAAGGCAGTAGGCTAGTAGGCGAGTGCCCAATTGAAATAATAGTCAGACTTAAATTTTTTAAAAAAGAGCTAAAAATTTGGTTTACGCTAAGTCAAATAAAAAAAAATAAAATAAAAACTACCGTACGTACAGGTCGAAAACGATCAGAGAAGAATTTCCGAGCCACGGAACGAAGGCTGATGTACCACATCCAATCCCTACGAATGACTCTTCGAATCAATGAAATTAACATATTTTTTTTCTCAAAATGCATTGTTAAGCAAGCTCAATTTCAAGCACTGCATGCGGAAACGAGTCCATACAGTTAGTCAAAAGTGGGCTCTTTTATTCTTATTGTAGTACGGAATTGCACTTTCCATGCAAACTCACTTCCCCCCTGCGCTGGCCATGTGCCTGACCGATCTGAGCGACCAGTTCGCCGGTCTCCCCATTGCTACTGGTGCTGGGATTGGCGCTGCCCAGCACCGCCGCACCCGGCGATTCTTGAGGATGAGGTAATGCCTTCTTGTTGGGTACTGGCCGAGCCAGTGGCGTCTGACCTCGGCGGCTGAGTCCTGCGACGTGAGGCAAAAATTTTCTCTTTGGCTGGCCAGCGGGTGGATGTGAAGCAGGTGCCGGATAAGGGCGCAGCCGCAGCAGATCGGGCTGCTGCCATGGTCGGAGGATGGGAATTGCAAGGCAGTAGGCTAGTAGGCGAGTGCCCAATTGAAATAATAGTCAGACTTAAATTTTTTAAAAAAGAGCTAAAAATTTGGTTTACGCTAAGTCAAATAAAAAAAAATAAAATAAAAACTACCGTACGTACAGGTCGAAAACGATCAGAGAAGAATTTCCGAGCCACGGAACGAAGGCTGATGTACCACATCCAATCCCTACGAATGACTCTTCGAATCAATGAAATTAACATATTTTTTTTCTCAAAATGCATTGTTAAGCAAGCTCAATTTCAAGCACTGCATGCGGAAACGAGTCCATACAGTTAGTCAAAAGTGGGCTGTAAATACGAATTATTAAACAGAGACATCCGTCTCCTTCGATATAACTTTATTCAATGTATTTCTGATATTCTTACAGTTATAGCACTAAGCAAACAACACATAGAGGCGTCAAATCGACTAAAAACTGCCTGCATAAAATTTTTGGACGATTGGCTCCCAGGCCTTCGGTCGGGAGCCGATAGCTTCGGCAGGGCACTCGGCTCTCTCCGGCTTGAGCCGAGAGAGACCGCCTTTGCAGCTGTGTCGAATATAAACCGTGTGCGTGTGTAGCTATACCTGTATGCGTGTTCTCTGACTCATGACGGGATACGAAAGCTAGACGAGCATTGCAAATGCATGTGTGTACTCAGACACGACAAAATATTTATCAATTCTTATTTTCCGAAACCGTCTTTGTTTTGAGTTTTCAGGTTACGTAAATGTGTGTGTGTCATGTATTCTCACATACTGTGCTTGTATGTGACAGAATACATCAACAAAATATGAAGTCTGACGACGGGAATAGGTCCAGGGCCGGATTAGCAGTTGCCTAGGGCCCCCTACGGATAACAGAAAAATTTTGTTGAAAACACAAAACTCCAAATAATGAATAAAAAATATAATAGCCACTGAGAAAAATACAAAATAAAGGAGGACCCCCAAATTGATGGTTGCCCAGGGCCCGGTTGAGGGTTGATCCGACCCTGAATAGGTCGAGTTTGGTTTTAAAGTTGTTAGAGGACACAAATACAGGCATAGTTACACACGCACACGGTTTATATTCGACACAGGTGCAAAGGCGGTCTCTCTCGGCTCAAGCCGGAGAGAGCCGAGTGCCCTGCCGAAGCTATCGGCTCCCGACCGAAGGCCTGGGAGCCAATCGTCCAAAAATTTTATGCAGGCAGTTTTTAGTCGATTTGACGCCTCTATGTGTTGTTTGCTTAGTGGTTATAGCTTAAGCTAAGGCCGCGCAGCTGCGCTGCCAGGAATGCCGGCAGCGGAGCGGCCGCATTTATATGTTTGTTATATATGCCCAGCGCTGTTGATAGCGGGGGGCGCGAGGGGAATATGCACATGCTTGTGTGGATCATATCACTAACCATACAGTATATAGATGTGCCAGTTCATACAACGAAAGGGGCGCAGCTGAGGTTTCTGTCCCAGCACCCCCAGGTCTTCGGCTAGGGTGCTGGGACCATTCGGCTGTGGTGCTGAGACGTTCGGGTCGTGGGCCTGAGACGTTCGGCATTTTTTCGACATGTTCGATTCATGACGAGATGCGAAAGCAAGCTGAGAATTGCAAATGTATGTGTGTAAACAGACACGACAAAATTTTGTATCAATTCTTATTTCCGAAACCGTTTTGAGTTCGTTTCCAGGTTACGTAAATGTGTGTGTGCCATGTATTCACACATACGGCTTGTGTTGGGCTCTACAATTGTTGGCCGCTTGAATTGGTTTTTCGTTTTGTTTTGAGGGCTGATGTGATGTAGCGACCTATTCAGGGCCGGATGACCTAACCGGGCCCTGGGCAATCATCAATCTGGGGCCCTCCTTTATTTTGTATTTTTCTCAGTGGCCATTATATTTTGTATTCATTATTTGGAGTTTTGTTTTTTCAACAAAATTTTTCTGTTATTTCTAGGAGGGCCCTAGGCTAATCCGGCCTGGACCTATTCCCGTCGTAAGACTTCATATTTTCTTGGTGTGTTCTGTCGCTCGACTCGACGCGGGTCGGGTCGAGGCATTGACGAAGCCCTTCATAAAATATTTTTTCGAAAAGCTGTTGTTGCGACGGGCGCGCGGGGTATTTCTTCCATTCTCCTTTCGGCTTGCCTTTGCCTCTGCTTTCGGCTTCGTCAATGCCTCGACCCGACCCGCGTCGAGTCGAGCGACAGAACACACCAAGAAAATATGAAGTCTTACGACGGGAATAGGTCCAGGGCCGGATTAGCAGTTGCCTAGGGCCCTCCCTAGAAATAACAGAAAAATTTTGTTGAAAAAACAAAACTCCAAATAATGAATACAAAATATAATGGCCACTGAGAAAAATACAAAATAAAGGAGGGCCCCAGATTGATGATTGCCCAGGGCCCGGTTGAGGGTTGATCCGGCCCTGAATAGGTCGCTACATCACATCAGCCCTCAAAACAAAACGAAAAACCAATTCAAGCGGCCAACAATTGTAGAGCCCACACACAAGCACAGTATGTGTGAATACATGGCACACACACATTTACGTAACCTGGAAACGAAACTCAAAACGGTTTCGGAAAATAAGAATTGATACAAAATTTTGTCGTGTCTGTTTACACACATACATTTGCAATTCTCAGCTTGCTTTCGCATCTCGTCATGAATCGAACATGTAAAAAGCGAACGTCTCAGGCCCACGACCCGAACGTCTCAGCCCACAGCCAAATGGTCCCAGCACCCTAGCCGAAGACCTGGGGGTGCTGGGACAGAAACCTCAGCTGCGCCCCTTTCGTTGTATGAACTGACACATCTATATACTGTATGGTTAGTGATCATATTCAAGTGCCGTCGGCTATGCTATACATGCCGACGCTGCACTAATGTAGTACCAGGCATATATGTGTGATCGTATTTCGTCGCACTGAATATGCCTGGGAATGTTTATTGCATAAACACTGCAACAAAGTGTTACAGTGTGTTCCCTTTTAAGTACTCTTGGTACAGTGGGTATTGGCTATATATATGCATACTACATCTCCCTCCTTTTGAAAAATAACGTAATATTTATGAAGTTATTTTGTAATTATAATAGATAGATATTTAGGAAAATGTATTTAGAAAAAGAAACATTTTTTTTTTTTTTTTTTTTTTTTTTTAAGCAAATACACATATACATATATCCTATAGCTCAAAGTAAAAAATTTTTTTTTTTTTGTTTAAATTATTTTTTTTTTTTTTTGTTTCATATGTTATAGTAAAAATTAAAAAGATTTGATATATTTCTATGGATATACTTATGTATGGTCATACTAATTCTATCTATGAGTAAAAAAGTTTTAGTCTATCCTTATGGACTGTCTGAGTTTTCTGTTTATTATCGGAGATTGTGACGTTATCTCTTTCTCCGATATTTTCTACTCTATATGGTCCTTTATATTTATAGTCTAACTTGTGACCAGTTTCATTTTTTAATAAAACCTGGTCTCCTATTTTTAGTTCAAAATCTAAACTACTAGCGTCGTACCTAATTTTTTGTTTTTGTTTGCCATCTTCTAACATGATTCTGGCTCTTTTATATGCTATTTCTAATCTATATTTGCTTTCTTTAGCATAATCTTCTATATTATATATAGGTTCTATATTATCTATGCTATTAAAATGTATTGGTAAGTTTGAAGTCTTACCGAAAACTAATTCATATGGACAATAATCATGTGCCATATAGGGGGTTGTGTTGAAGCAATATACGAAGTATTGTAGCCATACATCCCAATCTGTTTTGTCAATTGAGATGTATGAGCGTATGAACTCATTAAAAGTTCTGTGGCTTCGCTCCACGGCTCCTACAGTCTGGTGATGATGGGCAGTGGATGTTATATTTTGAATATTTAAGTTTTTACATAAATCTTCAATTATTGAATTTTTGTATTCCGTTCCCATGTCCGTAATGAACGTCTTCATTGGACCGTACTTTAGAATAAAATCTTCAAATATAGCTTTAGCTACTGTTTTTGCACTTTTGTTATTGATTGGTATGGCTACAAGGTATTTTGTCAAATCACAGATTAAAGTGACTGCATATTCGTTTCCTTGTTCTGATTTAGGAAGTGGACCGATCGTATCCACAATTACCCTATCAAACGCCATTTGTGGTGTTTCAGTTATAGTCAATGGGGTCTTGGTATGTTTGGTTGTTTTGGACTTTTGGCATTTGGGACACTTTCTCACATAATTTGTAATTTGACGTGTCATGTTTTTCCAATAATAATGCCTTCTTATTTTCGCTAATGTTTTAGCTATACCTGTGTGACCTCCTTGGATTGGATCATCATGGAATGTATTCTTTTATTCTTATTGTAGTACGGAATTGCACTTTCCATGCAAACTCACTTCCCCCCTGCGCTGGCCATGTGCCTGACCGATCTGAGCGACCAGTTCGCCGGTCTCCCCATTGCTACTGGTGCTGGGATTGGCGCTGCCCAGCACCGCCGCACCCGGCGATTCTTGAGGATGAGGTAATGCCTTCTTGTTGGGTACTGGCCGAGCCAGTGGCGTCTGACCTCGGCGGCTGAGTCCTGCGACGCGAGGCAAAAAATTTCTCTTTGGCTGGCCAGCGGGTGGATGTGAAGCAGGTGCCGGATAGGGCGCAGCCGCAGCAGATCGGGCTGCTGCCATGGTCGGAGGATGGGAATTGCGAAGGCAGTAGGCTAGTAGGCGAGTGCCCAATTGAAATAATAGTCAGACTTAAATTTTTTAAAAAAGAGCTAAAAATTTGGTTTACGCTAAGTCAAATAAAAAAAAATAAAATAAAAACTACCGTACGTACAGGTCGAAAACGATCAGAGAAGAATTTCCGAGCCACGGAACGAAGGCTGATGTACCACATCCAATCCCTACGAATGACTCTTCGAATCAATGAAATTAACATATTTTTTTTCTCAAAATGCATTGTTAAGCAAGCTCAATTTCAAGCACTGCATGCGGAAACGAGTCCATACAGTTAGTCAAAAGTGGGCTCTTTTATTCTTATTGTAGTACGGAATTGCACTTTCCATGCAAACTCACTTCCCCCCTGCGCTGGCCATGTGCCTGACCGATCTGAGCGACCAGTTCGCCGGTCTCCCCATTGCTACTGGTGCTGGGATTGGCGCTGCCCAGCACCGCCGCACCCGGCGATTCTTGAGGATGAGGTAATGCCTTCTTGTTGGGTACTGGCCGAGCCAGTGGCGTCTGACCTCGGCGGCTGAGTCCTGCGACGCGAGGCAAAAAATTTCTCTTTGGCTGGCCAGCGGGTGGATGTGAAGCAGGTGCCGGATAGGGGCGCAGCCGCAGCAGATCGGGCTGCTGCCATGGTCGGAGGATGGGAATTGCAAGGCAGTAGGCTAGTAGGCGAGTGCCCAATTGAAATAATAGTCAGACTTAAATTTTTAAAAAAAGAGCTAAAAATTTGGTTTACGCTAAGTCAAATAAAAAAAAATAAAATAAAAACTACCGTACGTACAGGTCGAAAACGATCAGAGAAGAATTTCCGAGCCACGGAACGAAGGCTGATGTACCACATCCAATCCCTACGAATGACTCTTCGAATCAATGAAATTAACATATTTTTTTTTCGAAATGCATTGTTAAGCAAGCTCAATTTCAAGCACTGCATGCGGAAACGAGTCCATACAGTTAGTCAAAAGTGGGCTGTAAATACGAATTATTAAACAGAGACATCCGTCTCCTTCCTCGATATAACTTTATTCAATGTATTTCTGATATTCTTACAGTTATAGCTTAAGCTAAGGCCGCGCAGCTGCGCTGCCAGGAATGCCGGCAGCGGAGCGGCCGCATTATATGTTTGTTATATATGCCCAGCGCTGTTGATAGCGGGGGCGCGAGGAGAGGCACATGCTTGTGTGGATCATATCACTAACCATACAGTATATAGATGTGCCAGTTCATACAACGAAAGGGGCGCAGCTAGGGTCCCAGCACCCCCAGGTCTCGGCTAGGGTGCTGGGACCATTCGGCTGTGGTGCTGAGACGTTGGGTCGTGGGCCTGAGACGTTCGGCATTTTTTCGACATGTTCGATTCATGACGGATGCGAAAGCAAGCTGAGAATTGCAAGTATGTGTGTAAACAGACACGACAAAATTTTGTATCAATTCTTATTTTCCGAAACCGTTTTGAGTTTCGTTTCCAGGTTACGTAAATGTGTGTGTGCCATGTATTCACATACTGTGCTTGTGTGTGGGCTCTACAATTGTTGGCCGCTTGAATTGGTTTTTCGTTTTGTTTTGAGGGCTGATGTGATGTAGCGACCTATCAGGGCCGGATAAGCCTCAACCGGGCCCTGGGCAATCATCAATTGGGGCCCTCCTTTATTTGTATTTTTCTCAGTGGCCATTATATTTTGTATTCATTATTTGGAGTTTTGTTTTTTCAACAAAATTTTTCTGTTATTTCTAGGAGGGCCCTAGGCAACTGCTAATCCGGCCCTGGACCTATTCCCGTCGTAAGACTTCATATTTTCTTGGTGTGTTCTGTCGCTCGACTCGACGCGGGTCGGGTCGAGGCATTGACGAAGCCCTTCATAAAATATTTTTTCGAAAAGCTGTTGTTGCGACGGGCGCGCGGGGTATTTCTTCCATTCTCCTTTCGGCTTGCCTTTGCCTCTGCTTTCGGCTTCGTCAATGCCTCGACCCGACCCGCGTCGAGTCGAGCGACAGAACACACCAAGAAAATATGAAGTCTTACGACGGGAATAGATCCAGCCGGATTATAGTTGCCTGGCCCTCCTAGAAATAACAGAAAAATTTTGTTGAAAAAACAAAACTCCAAATAATGAATACAAAATATAATGGCCACTGAGAAAAATACAAAATAAAGGAGGGCCCCAGATTGATGATTGCCCAGGCCCGTTGAAGGTTGATCCGGCCCTAATAGTCGCTACATCACATCAGCCCTCAAAACAAAACGAAAAACCAATTAAGCGGCCAACAATTGTAAGCCCACATACAAGCACAGTGTGTGAACATGGCACACACACATTTACGTAACCTGGAAACGAAACTCAAAACGGTTTCGGAAAATAAGAATTGATACAAAATTTTGTCGTGTCTGTTTACACATATACATTTGCAATCTAGCTTGCTTTATCGAAAACGCTACTTCAGCCACCAATTTGCTGAATGGCCAGCACCCCAGCCGGGGTGGACCGGCCCTCTGTATGAACTGCAATACTGTATGGTCAGTGTGAACATTCAAGTGCCGTCGCTAGTCTACATGCCGACGCTGACTAATGTAGTACCAGGCATATATGTGTGATCGTATTTCGTCGCACTGAATATGCCTGGGAATGCTTTATTCATAAACACTGCAACAAAGTGTTACAGTGTGTTCCCTTTTAAGTATTCTTGGTACAGTGGGTATTGGCTATATATATCATACTACATCTCCTCTTTTGAAAAATAACGTAATATTTATGAAGTGGTAATTATAATAGATAGATATTTAGGAAAATGTATTTAGAAAAAGAAACATTTTTTTTTTTTTTTTTTTTTTTTTTTTAAGCAAATACACATATACATATATCCTATAGCTCAAAGTAAAAAATTTTTTTTTTTTTTTGTTTAAATTATTATTTTTTTTTTTTTTGTTTCATATGTTATAGTAAAAATTAAAAAGATTTGATATATTTCTATGGATATACTTATGTATGGTCATACTAATTCTATCTATGAGTAAAAAAGTTTTAGTCTATCCCTTATGGACTGTCTAGGTTTTCTGTTTATTATCGGAGATTGTGACGTTATCTCTTTCTCCGATATTTCCTATCTTATATGGTCCTTTATATTTATAGTCTAACTTGTGACCAGTTTCATTTTTTTAATAAAACCTGGTCTCCTATTTTAGTTCAAAATCTAAACTACTAGCGTCGTACCTAATTTTTTGTTTTTGTTTGCCATCTTCTAACATGATTCTGGCTCTTTTATATGCTATTTCTAATCTATATTTGCTTTCTTTAGCATAATCTTCTATATTATATATAGGTTCTATATTATCTATGCTATTAAAATGTATTGGTAAGTTTGAAGTCTTACCGAAAACTAATTCAGTATGGACAATAATCATGTGCCATATAGGGGGTTGTGTTGAAGCAATATACGAAGTATTGTAGCCATACATCCCAATCTGTTTTGTCAATTGAGATGTATGAGCGTATAATCATTAAAAGTTCTGTGGCTTCGCTCCACGGCTCCTACAGTCTGGTGATGATGGGCAGTGGATGTTATATTTTGAATATTTAAGTTTTTACATAAATCTTCAATTATTGAATTTTTGTATTCCGTTCCCATGTCCGTAATGAACGTCTTCATTGGACCGTACTTTAAAATAAAATCTTCAAATATAGCTTTAGCTACTGTTTTTGCACTTTTGTTATTGATTGGTATGGCTACAAGGTATTTTGTCAAATCACAGATTAAAGTGACTGCATATTCGTTTCCTTGTTCTGATTTAGGAAGTGGACCGATCGTATCCACAATTACCCTATCAAACGCCATTTGTGGTGTTTCAGTTATAGTCAATGGGGTCTTGGTATGTTTGGTTGTTTTGGACTTTTGGCATTTGGGACACTTTCTCACATAATTTGTAATTTGACGTGTCATGTTTTTCCAATAATAATGCCTTCTTATTTTCGCTAATGTTTTAGCTATACCTGTGTGACCTCCTTGGATTGGATCATCATGGAATGTATTCTTTTATTTTTATTGTAGTACGGAATTGCACTTTCCATGCAAACTCACTCCCCCTGCGCTGGCCATGTGCCTGACCGATCTGAGCGACCAGTTCGCCGGTCTCCCCATTGGTTACTGGTGCTGGGATTGGCGCTGCCCAGCACCGCCGCACCCGGCGATTCTTGAGGATGAGGTAATGCCTTCTTGTTGGGTACTGGCCGAGCCAGTGGCGTCTGACCTCGGCGGCTGAGTCCTGCGACGGGCAAAAATTTCTCTTTGGCTGGCCAGGGGTGGATGTGAAGCAGGTGCCGGATAGGGCGCAGCCGCAGCAGATCGGGCTGCTGCCATGGTCGGAGGATGGGAATTGCAAGGGCAGTAGGCTGAGCAGGCGAGTGCCCAATTGAAATAATAGTCAGACTTAAATTTTTTAAAAAAGAGCTAAAAATTTGGTTTACGCTAAGTCAAATAAAAAAAAAATAAAATAAAAACTACCGTACGTACAGGTCGAAAACGATCAGAGAAGAATTTCCGAGCCACGAAACGAAGGCTGATGTACCACATCCAATCCCTACGAATGACTCTTCGAATCAATGAAATTAACATATTTTTTTTCTCAAAATGCATTGTTAAGCAAGCTCAATTTCAAGCACTGCATGCGGAAACGAGTCCATACAGTTAGTCAAAAGTGGGCTCTTTTATTCTTATTGTAGTACGGAATTGCACTTTCCATGCAAACTCACTTCCCCCTGCGCTGGCCATGTGCCTGACCGATCTGAGCGACCAGTTCGCCGGTCTCCCCATTGCTACTGGTGCTGGGATTGGCGCTGCCCAGCACCGCCGCACCCGGCGATTCTTGAGGATGAGGTAATGCCTTCTTGTTGGGTACTGGCCGAGCCAGTGGCGTCTGACCTCGGCGGCTGAGTCCTGCGACGCGAGGCAAAAAATTTCTCTTTGGCTGGCCAGCGGGTGGATGTGAAGCAGGTGCCGGATAGGGCGCAGCCTCAGCAGATCGGGCTGCTGCCATGGTCGGAGGATGGGAATTGCAAGGCAGTAGGCTAGTAGGCGAGTGCCCAATTGAAATAATAGTCAGACTTAAATTTTTTAAAAAAGAGCTAAAAATTTGGTTTACGCTAAGTCAAATAAAAAAAAAATAAAATAAAAACTACCGTACGTACAGGTCGAAAACGATCAGAGAAGAATTTCCGAGCCACGGAACGAAGGCTGATGTACCACATCCAATCCCTACGAATGACTCTTCGAATCAATGAAATTAACATATTTTTTTTCTCAAAATGCATTGTTAAGCAAGCTCAATTTCAAGCACTGCATGCGGAAACGAGTCCATACAGTTAGTCAAAAGTGGGCTCTTTTATTCTTATTGTAGTACGGAATTGCACTTTCCATGCAAACTCACTTCCCCCTGCGCTGGCCATGTGCCTGACCGATCTGAGCGACCAGTTCGCCGGTCTCCCCATTGCTACTGGTGCTGGGATTGGCGCTGCCCAGCACCGCCGCACCCGGCGATTCTTGAGGATGAGGTAATGCCTTCTTGTTGGGTACTGGCCGAGCCAGTGGCGTCTGACCTCGGCGGCTGAGTCCTGCGACGCGAGGCAAAAAATTTCTCTTTGGCTGGCCAGCGGGTGGATGTGAAGCAGGTGCCGGATAGGGCGCAGCCGCAGCAGATCGGGCTGCTGCCATGGTCGGAGGATGGGAATTGCAAGGCAGTAGGCTAGTAGGCGAGTGCCCAATTGAAATAATAGTCAGACTTAAATTTTTTTTAAAAGAGCTAAAAATTTGGTTTACGCTAAGTCAAATAAAAAAAAATAAAATAAAAACTACCGTACGTACAGGTCGAAAACGATCAGAGAAGAATTTCCGAGCCACGGAACGAAGGCTGATGTACCACATCCAATCCCTACGAATGACTCTTCGAATTAATGAAATTAACATATTTTTTTTCTCAAAATGCATTGTTAAGCAAGCTCAATTTCAAGCACTGCATGCGGAAACGAGTCCATACAGTTAGTCAAAAGTGGGCTCTTTTATTCTTATTGTAGTACGGAATTGCACTTTCCATGCAAACTCACTTCCCCCCTGCGCTGGCCATGTGCCTGACCGATCTGAGCGACCAGTTCGCCGGTCTCCCCATTGCTACTGGTGCTGGGATTGGCGCTGCCCAGCACCGCCGCACCCGGCGATTCTTGAGGATGAGGTAATGCCTTCTTGTTGGGTACTGGCCGAGCCAGTGGCGTCTGACCTCGGCGGCTGAGTCCTGCGACGTGAGGCAAAAATTTTCTCTTTGGCTGGCCAGCGGGTGGATGTGAAGCAGGTGCCGGATAGGGCGCAGCCGCAGCAGATCGGGCTGCTGCCATGGTCGGAGGATGGGAATTGCAAGGCAGTAGGCTAGTAGGCGAGTGCCCAATTGAAATAATAGTCAGACTTAAATTTTTTAAAAAAGAGCTAAAAATTTGGTTTACGCTAAGTCAAATAAAAAAAAATAAAATAAAAACTACCGTACGTACAGGTCGAAAACGATCAGAGAAGAATTTCCGAGCCACGGAACGAAGGCTGATGTACCACATCCAATCCCTACGAATGACTCTTCGAATCAATGAAATTAACATATTTTTTTCTCAAAATGCATTGTTAAGCAAGCTCAATTTCAAGCACTGCATGCGGAAACGAGTCCATACAGTTAGTCAAAAGTGGGCTCTTTTATTCTTATTGTAGTACGGAATTGCACTTTCCATGCAAACTCACTTCCCCCTGCGCTGGCCATGTGCCTGACCGATCTGAGCGACCAGTTCGCCGGTCTCCCCATTGCTACTGGTGCTGGGATTGGCGCTGCCCAGCACCGCCGCACCCGGCGATTCTTGAGGATGAGGTAATGCCTTCTTGTTGGGTACTGGCCGAGCCAGTGGCGTCTGACCTCGGCGGCTGAGTCCTGCGACGCGAGGCAAAAAATTTCTCTTTGGCTGGCCAGCGGGTGGATGTGAAGCAGGTGCCGGATAGGGCGCAGCCGCAGCAGATCGGGCTGCTGCCATGGTCGGAGGATGGGAATTGCAAGGGCAGTAGGCTAGTAGGCGAGTGCCCAATTGAAATAATAGTCAGACTTAAATTTTTTAAAAAAGAGCTAAAAATTTGGTTTACGCTAAGTCAAATAAAAAAAAATAAAATAAAAACTACCGTACGTACAGGTCGAAAACAATCAGAGAAGAATTTCCGAGCCACGGAACGAAGGCTGATGTACCACACCAATCCCTACGAATGACTCTTCGAATCAATGAAATTAACATATTTTTTTTCTCAAAATGCATTGTTAAGCAAGCTCAATTTCAAGCACTGCATGCGGAAACGAGTCCATACAGTTAGTCAAAAGTGGGCTCTTTTATTCTTATTGTAGTACGGAATTGCACTTTCCGTGCAAACTCACCTCCCCCCTGCGCTGGACAACTTTTCTAAAAGTTTTATTTGATATCCATTAATATAGTAGAATGGAAACCGCAGCAAAGGTTGTTTTGATGTTCTCATACTTCCGCTGGAAATTTTTCCAGAAAGATCTGTCCACCGGCTTTTACGAGTCGCTAATACGGGAAGATTGATATATGTCTCCGTAACCGCAGAAGATCACACAATAAATTGCCACCGTTTAGTCCTCTTAATATGATCGCAAAGATAAAACACTTTTTTGACTCGAAGCCGCCTAACGCCCATGCCTTTTTGTTTTTTTTTCGTATTAAGTGAAATGAGTAATGCATGCGGAAAGAAGTCCAAAGAGCTGGTCAAACATAGGCTCTTATTGTAATACGGAATTGCACTTTCCGTGTAAGCTCGGCAAAATAGAAAAAATTCCATCAGTTAAAAAAAAAACGAGAAGGAACGTGTGAGTCGCTTCTTGGGACGCGACTCTACTTATACCCGTACTCAGTCAGTATATACATTTTTGAGCTTATGATTTTTAAGAATTTTAGAAAAAAAAAAAATTTTACATTTTACATTTTTTTGCTACATATGTGTATCTACATCTACATATACAATGTATATTCTACATCTTACATGTAGATTGTACATGTTCCAATTAGATTCTACATCTCCTCCGCTAGGGGTTGCTCGCGCACTGAACGCAGCAGAGTGTGCGAGTGAGAAGGAAAATGAGTTGAGTTGTCGTGGCGGGAGGGGGAGGGGAAGCAACTGAAAATTAATTTCTTCATTCTGGCTATAATTATGATCCGATCTGATTCAGATTCGGCAATCTGGTAGATATGGGCATTCTCTACGATACTGCGTTTTTAGTTTTATCGTATCTTTAAAACTGTGCCTGCCACAGATTTTCGTCCTTTGTGTGGGCGGAAGGGGGCGGGGCGAATTTTTGAAATACACTTGTAGCAGTGTGATATCACATGAGTCTGGAAACCAAATTTGGTTTCTCTAGCTCTTATAGTCTCTGAGATCCAGGCGCTCATCAAGACGGACAGACGGACATGGCTATATCGACTCGGCTATTGATGCTGATCAAGAATATATATACTTTATGGGGTCGGAAACGTTTCCTTCTCTGCGTTGCACACATCCACTTTTACCACAAATCTAATATACCCCTTAACTCTTTTTTGAGTACGGGTATAAAAAATATTTAAACCCTGAACTTTTGCGTGAGTTCAGATGGGAAAAGAAGGAGGAGCCTAAAGAGCTGATCAGCTTTGGTCGTGGCTTCGAAGCTGAAAATGTACTGGGCGACACGAACAGGCACGACTAAGCATATTTGATGGCTCTATGTGTGCACACCAACAAGTGCGCCCAGGCTGCGAGAACACCTCGGAGCCAGGAGAATATGTTGAAAGCTCCACCTTCATATCCGCATTAGAGGAGTGATTAAAAAACGAGCAATCGGCAAATCGTCGTTATACACTGTGCGCAACCAACAAATATCGTACACGATCTGAGAAGAAATTCCGAGGCACGGACACGATGGCTGAAGCTACCTCCACATCCAAAAACATGCATATCAGCAAGTCCAGGAATTCATGAACGAGGAGGACAAGACCTCATTTCTTGTCCTTTTGATAAATCCATACGAATGACTCTTCGAATCAATGATAATTAAATTTTTTTTCTCAATATGCATTGTTAAGAGGAAGGAAAACCAACCAATAAAAAATAGCAATCATTAAGAATATATAAGCCACACATGTGTGACACAGTATTTTTAAATGTTCAACAATGTTTTTAAATATGTAGTAGACGATAGCTTGTAAGATGTGTTCCCCACGGAGAAAAAATTGAAATGATGCTTCCGTGCTGACGACTGCCGTATTTATACCTTTTTCGTTACGCACACACACACACACACGTATGCAAGCAGAATTGCTCTCAGTGCTGCCAAATTTTCATAAGAAAAAAGCTGTTTCTAGCTTGAAGAAAAAAAAAAGAAGCTATATTGATTTTACCAAAAATTGCTTTAAGAGGTGATATTTGATATTATTGTAACAGTATTTTTATATTATATTTTATCGCTGGAGAGGTAATCTAACAAAGTCTGTTTTGTTTTTTGTTTGACGCCACCTATTGCGCTTTTGTGTATACATGGGCGCGTATATCACGTAGCTTGGCTGTGATTTTGCAACAGCTGCCGTAAACTGTAAACTCGTTTGTGTCATCCATGCAAACATTTCTTAAAACATTAAGAATTTCCACTTTCCCGCAATTACCAAATTTTTTCATTCAAAATAGCCAGATTTGACGGAAAAAAGCAAAGTCGGCAGCCCTGATTGCTGTACACAAGCGGTCGGCTGCAGCTGCAAGAAAACGTACAATTGCGTGATAGGAGCGAGCGAGAAAAATGTATATGCTCTGGTTTGCCGTGCTGTTCTTGCTACACGTAGCCACTAACCATACAGTATATAGATGTGCCAGTTCATACAACGAAAGGGGCGCAGCTGAGGAAGATGTGCTCTATATGTGTTCTATGCTCTGACCGGAACTAAATTACTGACTTCGCAAATATGCTATGAATCCATCTATATTTTCTAAGGGGGTAACAAAAGCTTCTAAACAGGAAGTATTTATTTTCCTATTTCTTGCTCAACAACATATTGTACTATCATCTGCAGATCATTTGAGTATTATGTACATATAGTTATAAAAATGTTTTTATTTTTTGAATTTTTTTTTATTTAATCCAGATTTATATAAATAAGAAATTTAACGACAAAATTAACAATTGGAAAAAAACATCTCAATCCAAGAAAAATGCAATATTAATGTTTCAAAGCAGCATGGAACAACAAATTTAACATAAATTAAAGGAAATATGGCAGCGATGCCCAAAGTCAGCTTATGGCAGGGAACTCACCAATACTCCCAAACAAAAACACAAATACTAATAAGGGAACAGTGCAAACTCGAAGAAAAGACAACAACAAAATCATAACAAAAATCGGGTTAACACCAATCAGAGAAGAGACAAAACCGGTTTTTGCTGGACGGATCGCATACACACAAAGATGTTTGCATGTGTTGGGCTTTCGGTATGCTGGTACACAGCACAAACTGTGTATGCATACAAGAATTGGTTTCCTATGCTGATGGCTTATTATGTAAACAATCCAATGAAAAAGAGTTCTGAAAACTAGCCAATCCTGAACAAAATTCATTGAGGAATTGGATAAAATAATTTTTTTTTAGGGCTGAGAGGGCCAACTATCTAGTAATATTAAACTGAATATCAAAATTGACGAATTTCATATCACAAAATATCATGGTATGGCAGCCCGCAGAAACTACGAATTGCACAAGTCTGGCAGCGCCAAAAAACTACGTCACATTCGTTTCATGTTGTTTTTGTTTGAACCTTAATATGTAAATAATCCAATAAAAAGGACTTCTGAAAACTTGCCAATCTTGTAGAAAATGTATGTATCTATCGGATAAAATTATTTGTTTAGGGCTGAGAGTCCCAGCTAGCTTGTAATATTAAGCGGAATATCAAATTCGAGGAATATCAACGTTGAATGTTTTGAAAAAAAACAATCGATACTATCGTGATAGTATCGGGCTCAAAAAATTAATAAAAAACCATTGAAACCTTTTAGGAACTTGTCCATTGTAAAAATTAGATGCCACCTGTCGATTTGTTTACAAATGTGTCTTCGTATTTTATAGCAGCCAATCTACTATCTACTATCCAATACTATCATTATAGTCGCAAAACCGTCGATAGTAGAGGCACTAACCATACAGTATATAGATGTGCCAGTTCATACAACGAAAGGGGCGCAGCTGAGTTTGCAGCGTACGTTCCCAGATCTTCGGCTTTGGGAATGGCCGCGTTGGGCTCATGACGTCACACGAGCCGACTGGCAGCAAGCATGCATGTGTTGTGTACGTGTACACTCCAAAATATATGATTGTATGCATAGAATAATTTTTAGCTGCCGAAACCGACTTTGTTCGAGATTTCAGTTTACGTAAACGTGTGTGTGCCATGTATTCACATACTGTGCTTGGGTACAATTGTTGGCCGCTTGAATTGGTTTTTCATTTGTTTTGAGGGCTGATGTGATTTAGCGACCTATTCAGGGCCGGATCAACCCTCAACCGAGCCCTGGGCAACCATCAATCTGGGGCCCTCCTTTATTTGTATTTTTCTCAGTGGCTATTATATTTTTTATTCATTATTTGGAATTCTGTTTTTCAACAAAATTTTTCTGTTATCCCTAGGGGGCCCTAGGCAACTGCAATCCGGCCCTGGACCTATTCCCGTCGTAAGACTTAATATTTTCTTGGTGTGTTCTGTCGCTTTCTGTTGACGAAGCCGAAAGCAGAGGCAAAGGCTAGCCTAAAAGAGAACCGCGCGCCCGTCGCAACATCAGCTTTTCAAAACAAAACGAAAAAATATTTTATGAGCCGCTTCGTCAATGCCTCAACCCGCGTCGAGTCGAGCGACAGAACACACCAAGAAAATATGAAGTCTTACGACGGGAATAGGTCCAGGGCCGGACTAGCAGTTGCCTAGGGCCCTCCTAGAAATAACAGAAAAATTTTGTTGAAAAAACAAAACTCCAAATAATGAATACAAAATATAATGGCCACTGAGAAAAATACAAAATAAAGGAGGGCCCCAGATTGATGGTTGCCCAGGGCTCGGTTGAGGGTTGATCCGGCCCTAACAGGTCGCTACATCACATCAGCCCTCAAAACAAAACGAAAAACCAATTCAAGCGGCCAACAATTGTAGAGCCCACACACAAGCACAGTATGTGTGAATACATGGCACACACACGTTTACGTAAACTGAAATCTCGAACAAAGTCGGTTTCGGCAGCTAAAAATTATTCTATGCATACAATCATATATTTTGGAGTGTACACGTACACAACACATGCATGCTTGCTGCCAGTCGGCTCGTGTGACGTCATGAGCCCAACGCGGCCTTCAGGAACGCGGCCATTCCCAAAGCCGAAGATCTGGGAACGTTCGCTGCAAGCTCAGCTGCGCCCCTTTCGTTGTATGAACTGGCACATCTATATACTGTATGGTTAGTGCTAGCAGTAAAATATCGATACTATCGATAGTGCCCTCGATGGTTTGACACTTTTATTAGTGGGTGGTGGGCGTATGGAAAATAAAAAAAATAATTGAGATAAGAGACTGCAGAATTTAGCCACTGAATATATTGTATAAAATGGCTCAGGCAATGCCAAACCAGCCCAAATTTCTGCCTCGCATAGAGCGCATGGTGACAACAGCCAACTCGTTTGTCGCGACTGCATCCGGCAATCCCTTCGATGTGGAGGAGGAAGATGAGATATTTAGTAAACAGAAAATGGTACTCCGGGTGCCGAGCGACTGCACTGGTGACCTGATGCACCTGACTGTCTCAAAGAATTGGCTCGTTTGCTTGCTGGGCTCACCGGAACGTACAACCCTATTGCGTTTCTTTCTTCCGCGGGCGATTCCACCGGGCGGTAAGTTTCCACGAGAGGAGTATCTGGCACTTTTACACTGACAACTGATTTGCAGAAGTGGCGCTGGAGCGATATCTTTCGGGGTCTGGCTACAAGATTACAAAGATCTTTCTGGACCACACCGGGCATCATCTGGTCATCTCCGTGGTCCCGAAGTCAACGTCCGCGGGCGTCTCCGCCGACTTTCTGTACATTAACAGCACCGAATCGTCCACAGCGCAGCAGTTGAAGGTGCGTCGGATAGAAAAGTTCAAGGACCATGAAATCACAGCTGTGGCATTCAACCCGTACTATGGCAATGAGTCGACGACAGGCCCCATTCTACTGGGCACCAGTCGAGGCCTCGTCTTCGAGACGGAACTCAGCCCCACCAGCGACAGTCACACGCAGCGCAAGCAGCTGTACGACTTGGGCCTGGGACGCCCCAAGTATCCAATCACCGGACTGAAATTGCTGCGGGTGCCCAATAGCAGTCGGTACATTGTTGTGGTCACCAGTCCGGAATGCATCTACACATTCCAGGAGACACTCAAGCCAGAAGAACGCACCCTCCAGCCCATATTCGCGGGGTATGTTAATGGTGTGCAGGAGCCACACTGCGAGGAGCGAAAGACCGACTTGACCTACTCCCAGCTACGATTCTTTGCCCCGCCCAATAGTAAATACCCCAAACAGTGGGCGTGGCTGTGCGGTGCAGGCATACGCGTGGGTGAGGTAAGTAATTAGCGACTGCTGCTGCTGGCTCGAAAAATAAGATTTCCACTCAATTTCAGTTTTCTATCGAAGCGAATGGCAGTGCAACTCTGCTGGGCGACACCCTAATTAGCCTGGACTTTGAGAAGGCGAAGCACTTGTCGTACGAGGAGCGTCGCCTGAATGTGCCCAAGGCATTCGTCCTCACCGAGTACCATGCCGTGCTCCTCTATGCGGATCATATACGTGCCGTTTGCCTGCTGAACCAGGAGGTGGTCTATCAGGAGCCATTGGACGAGGCCCGAGTTGGCAAGCCGCTGAATATCGAGCGGGATGACATCACCGGATCCATCTATGTGTACACCGTGAAGGCGGTGTTCAACTTGAGGATCACGCGCGAGGAGCGAAATGTGTGGCGCATTTACCTGGACAGGGGCCAATACGAACTCGCCACGGCCCACGCAGCGGAGGTGCCCGAGCATCTGGACTTGGTACTCGTGCAGCGTGCAGACGCCGCTTTCACCGAGGGCTCCTATGAGGTGGCAGCAGACTATTATGCGGAGACGGGCAAGTCCTTCGAGGAGGTTTGTCTGAAGTTTATGGTGCTGCCGGACAAGCGGCCAATCATCAACTACGTGAAGAAGCGGCTCAGCCGCCTGACCACAATGCCCGCTGACATGGAGGTCATGGAGGAGGAGCATGCGACTGCCATCAAAGCGCTGGTGGTGTGGCTCATAGATCTTTACCTCATTCAAATAAACATGCCCGACCAAAACGAAGACTGGCGCCAGGCGTGGCAGACCGAATACGATGAGTTTATGCAAGAGCCGCCCATCCTGGCGTGCACAACACTCCATAGCGCAACGGTGCAGCAGCTAATTGCCGAGCATGCGGATCCCCACAATATGGCCCAGTTCGCTATCGCCATTGGCGACTACCAGGAAGTGGTAGAGCAGCAGCTAAAGGCCGAACGCTTTGCCGAGGCATTGCAGACACTCGGCAAGCAGCGCGACATGCAGCTCTACTACAAGTACGCGCCAGTGCTCATGGAAAAACTGCCCAAGCCCACAATCGATGTGCTCATTGCCCAGGGCGCCAACTTGGAGGTGGAGAAGCTGGTGCCCACACTCATAGTCATAGATACGCGCGAACAGAGGGAGCAGACGATTCGCTATCTGGAATTTGCCATCTACAAGCTGAATACCACCAACGATGCCATCCACAATTTCCTCCTGCATCTGTACGCACAGTACGAGCCGAAATTGCTCATGAAGTACCTGGAAATTCAGGGTCGGGACGAAAGTCTGGTGCACTATGACATCCACTATGCGCTCAAGGTGTGCACAGATCTCGATGTGAAGGAGGCATGCGTCTTCCTGCAGTGCATACTTCGCATGTGGATCTCTGCCGTGGATCTGGCACTAAAATTCGACATGAAGCTGGCCAAGGAGACGGCCTCGAGACCCACAGATAGTAGAATGCGCCGCAAAGTATGGCTGCGAATAGGTAATTAAATTGAATTGAATTAGCCCCCAAAATCGACCTACGATCTCACTCATCTATCTTCTTGTTGTGCCTCCTGCAGCTTATCATGATATCAAGGGAACAAACGATGTGAAGAAGGCCCTCAATCTGCTTAAGGAGTGCGAGCTGCTGCGCATCGAGGATCTCTTGCCATTCTTTTCTGACTTTGAGAAAATAGATAACTTTAAGGAGGCAATTTGCGATGCCTTAAAGGTAGGACTTGTGATCAATGACCTCGACTGAAATGTACAGCTTTCTTTTCGCTATCGCAATCAGGACTATAACCAGCGTATCCAAGAGCTGCAGCGTGAAATGGCCGAGACGCAGGAGCAGTCGGATCGCGTAGGCAAGGAGCTGCAACAACTGCGTGAGCATAGAATCTGCATAGATGCGCAGGACACGTGCTCCATATGCGAAATAATGCTGCCCATAAGGCCATTCTTTGCGTTCATCTGCGGGCACAAATTCCACAGTGATTGCCTTGAGAAGCAGGTGATGCCCTTGCTCAACAAGGAACGCAGTCGGCGATTGGGCATATTGAAGCAGCAGCTGGAGGCAGAAATGCAGACGCAATCGCAAACGCAAACGACTGCCACGGCGTCTGCTCCCAATCAGCCAACAGTCGAACAGCAATTGAAGCGTTCGGAGCTCAAGACGGAGATCGAGGACATACTCGCGAGCGATTGCCTGTATTGTAGCCTGTTTATTGAAACCATCGATCAGCCGTTCGTTGACGATTGGGAACAGGTGAATGTCGAGTGGGAGTAGTTCGTGGCAGTCTGACGAAAATCTACATCTACTACACATATGGATTGTAAATATAAATTATTTATTAATAAACCTACAAATCACAACATTACTGACTAATTTCGTCCCTTGAATTACGCAAATGGCATGAGATATAGCGTCAGCTACAGGTCGTCAATCGACAATCTGCATTCGCAGCTCATTTGTTACAAATGACACGACGGTATTGAGAACAGCCTGCTGGATCGATGCATTCTGGACTATCAGCGGCAGCAGCATCACTATGTCGGTGGGATGTATCTCGGCGACGGCCTTGGACACATGCTGCACCAGTTGCTCGCGCTGCCTGTCCGTCAGATCGTTGAGTATTACTTCGCCAAGGGGCCTAAATGAGCCTGCAGGCAGACAAAAGTCAATGATTATTATCATGTGTTCAAAGGTTAACGATTAACCGCTTACTCACCGCTGGTCATTTTGTATGCTGCGATGCCACCGGCCGCACCGCCAACCGCCAGACCCACCGGGCCCAAAAGCATTCCACCAGCGAAGGAGCAGGCTGCACAAATGGCTGCACCCTTGCCGGACTGCTTCACGGCGACTCGAACATTCTGCTCGTCGGCCACAATGGCAATGGCCTCCATTAACTCCCGCGTATTGATGGGCATTTTTGGGCTACGTGGTTTTACAGCGTAATTTCACAATCAAAATCCAATCCAAAGTTCGATTTTGGATCTTACGTATCAAAATAGTTGAGTAAAATCTGATAATATTTGCCAAATGATATAAAAAAATAAAAAAAAATGTATAGAACTGAAAATAATACTAACAAGCCAGCAAAATCGCACGAAAATAAACACGCAATTTGTTCCCGGGAAGTTGAAATGGAATTTTTTGTTTTTGTTTGTCCTAGGGATGTTAAATATATATTGAAATATGAATATATCGATATATATTTGCTGGTCCAGCGCTAAAATATATGTTTGGGCGCCAACTATTTGTCTGGATAGAAGTTTCCTATATCACGAGCGTGCACTTCTCGTCGTAGCCACCACAAAGTACGAACGCAGCGAACGTTTGCAGCTATTCTCGCGCAAGTCGACACTATTTTTCTGTGTGTTTCACGTCGCTAGGGCAGAAATCCCCGCGATTTTTGATGTGATCTATCGATGCACAGATTAGTTGCAAAAATAATATCGGTACTTTTGTGCGATAAGTGGAACGAATTATGCGGTAACTACTTTTGTTTTGAAAATAATAAGAGCCGTTATCCAATTTTATTCTATAAATGAAATTTCAAAATTTCGAAAGGCTTGCAATGAGTAAGATAAATATGTGGGATAAATATCAAATGGAAATAATACATTTTTTCAAAATCAAATATTCATATTGTGAGTTTGGGTTTGTCAGCTGTTGCTGGAATACATCGATAGTAACACATCGATATCGCGAAGAAAAAAACAGTGATATGTAACATCAAAACTATATAACAGCTGCAATAGCAGACCACTAACAGCACACTGTTCACGCACTGTTACTTTTGTTTTGTTCAAATTGAGTTAAAACTAATCCATGTAGAACGTTGGATTGTTGGTGTTCCTTGATGATAATCCTTCAGTAGATCAGTACTGCAAGCAAAACAACGAATGAAAACGCCAAAAAGCTGGTAGCATTTGTTTGTGGCTACTGCTTCTGACAATTTTCTATGCGCAGATCATTTAGTGGCACGGCATGTGGATATGAAAATGTGAATTACTCGGCGGCAACCAGTGTGTTTTCCACAAATCAAACCACAATCGGAGTAGATAAGCATCCAACTCCACTTTCAGCTGCGTTTCATTACAGATCAAAAGGCAATGTTCCCCTACAAACACGTAAGTCGAATGCGCAGGCAAATAAATTTCCTATTATGTCGATACATACATACTTATTTATGTATGTACGTACGTATGAAGATGTTGTGCATGAACAAGAATCGAAAGTTGTTTCTAATCTTTAAAACATTTAAGTCAATATGCGACAATTTAAATTGATATAAGATTGTGTGTATGTTTTTTATCTTTTCTAATTTCCCACATACAACTGCATGTAAACAGATATGTATGTTACATATATACATAAAGCAGTATCTAGATTCTTAAGGACCGTTTAAAGCAGAGCAAAGCAGTTTGCAGTTAGATTTTTACGTTAAAATTATCTTTAGTTTCCCACATCCGTACTTCCGCCAGATCGGGGGCTTGTTAAATAAATTTAATATTTTTATTGGGCCCCTTATCGCTTTCAAGCGATCCGTTAATTAATTGCTTAGTTAGCGTAGCGGTGTCATTTGTAATTAAGCCGCTAAGGCGCTAAAACGATGAAGAGCAAACAAGTGTAAGCCATTTGGATAACCCCCCGATGTGTGCCGTGCCTGTGTGTGAGTAGGGTTGATGTTTTCTAGGGCCTGCCTGTGGCGCTTAAAGTGCCACACCTACATACGTACACCCTAATTGCCACAGGGCCAGAGGCGGAGGGTGGCACCCTCAGACGAGGGCCAAGCCCTCGTCGCGTTGTGGTAGCTAATTCATTGCGTAAAACAAACGCCGCCAAATATAGCAAATATTTGCATATGTCCGTACGTAGGTACGTACGTGCCCCTCTTTCCGTTTTCCCCATTCTACGATTCAGTAATATTAATGTGTTGTTCTTTGTTCTTTGCAGAAGTGCACGTTGCTTTGGCTATTGCTGGTGCTGCTTACTGGACACGCACGCGCACGACCAGAGCAGCAGCAGCACGCTGTGGCGAACGAGCCGTTGGTGGCTGAAAAGGAAGATGGTCACTCCTTGACAGCTCCTCGCCCAGCCGATGATGAATTGGCGACTGTGGCGCCAACAACGACACCAGATCCCGCTGTGGCTATCGCGCAGGGTGCAGCAACTGAAGCCACCCACTCCCAGCCCGTCGCAACGGCAGTGCCAGCAACGTCCTCTACCTCGACCTCAACCACTGTTCCCGTTCCGCTGCTGCCAGCTGCACCGGAACAGCCCGAGTATCTGAAGCACTGTTTCTATGCCGAAGAGCACTGGTGCATGTCTGGCCATGACGGCCAGGGAAACGAAGCACCCGACGCACTGGGAAACGTGTCGACAACACCAGAGTTGGACTCGAAGGGTTTTGGCGCTCAGATCAATGCTAGTCAGGGGCACAGCCAGAACCTTGAACGCAATGCGAACAGCTGCCAGTGCCACGAGTATCCGGGAAAGGCCAACTCCTGGTATTGCTGCAACATATCGCAAATGTCAATGATCTCAACCTGCAGCAATATATCAAAATGGACAAATCTGCACGTGCGAAATCTCACCGTGCGGACCATGGATCTCTCCAATCCCATATTCCGCTCTCTCCAGTCGCTGGCCGTAACCGATGGCAATATAACGAAACTGATAAATGCCTTTCCGCGACACTCGGCCCTTAAGTGCCTCAACATATCGAACAATAACATTTCGGATATACCGTCACGAATGTTCAAGGATGTTCCCCATTTGGAATTCTTTGGCATGTCGCGAAATAATTTATCATTAGTGCCACATCACAATCAGAACAAAAACATTACTCTGGACATCAGGTGGGGATCCCCGACATCCATTTACATTTCCCTTTGGTTTTGAATCCCATTTTTGTTTCCAGTGGCAATATGCGCATGCTCTGCAACCCGCTAAACGAAATCATTAACAATGATTCATACAACTTTGTGAACCCAAAGCACTCGTACTGCTTGTACAATGCCACCCATGAGTGGTTTCAGTCCACGGACCATGTATCCGTGGAGCAGCTGGAGAGCACGAAGCGTTGCATGACCAAGTGCCCGGTGATACCAAACTATGGCAGATGCAAGTGCAGATTCGAGAGCATCATGATTATACAGGATGATCAGTCCAAGCCCAAGTGCCATGTGGACTGCTCCAACCTGGGATTGGTGGAGCTGCCACCCAGGCTGCCCGACAATACGTTTGTGCTGAATATAACCAACAACAAAATAACCAGCCTGGGCGACCACTTCCAAACCAATCCCACATATCATAACATTAACAGACTGGTCGCCGACAACAATCAGATAGCCTCCATTTACGAATTTGAGGGCACAAAGTTTATTGAGAACTTCCAGCGCATCTACATGCGCAACAATTCTCTGAGCAAGGTGAGTGCTGGCTGAGGTACTGAGAAGTTGCATTTAAATGCATTACATTCCCATTACAGATACCTGAATACTTTCTAAACAACGCACTAATGGATACGGGTCGACGGATTTACCTGGCAGGCAACAAGCTGCAATGCGACTGCAACTCGGCCAAAACTCTGCAGAATTGGCTCAAGGAGCGCAGCACCGATATACCCGACTACATGGAGATACGCTGCCGGAATATACCCCAGAGTGTCATTGAGCTGCAGGAGGCCAAACTATGCCAGTCGCCGCCTGACTGGACGGACTATATTTACTATTTGATAGCCGCCGAAGTTATCCTGCTGCTGGCGCTTATCACCAAAGTATCCTATGATTATTGGGTCTTTAAGACCTCTGGCTATTTACCGTGGCCAGCTAGCAAAATGCCCAAATTGCCATGCGATTGGTTGTGCGAGTCCTAGAGAGAAATTTTGAGGAAGAGGACTTAGTCCTTGGCGAACAATTAATCATACATAAGATAGCTAAATAGCTAGCAAGTCGTAAAGAGAAATAAAACTGGAGTTGACCCGACATTTTGGCAGAGAAATGTTTGGCAAATGAGCCTCGGACCATGACAAAATCAAATGGCAGGGCGCACTATTATATCTGACAGTGCAACCATGTGCCTTTTACATGCATATGCGTATGCTAACGTACCTACATATGTATGTATATAAATCCAATTTGTATTTTTGGTGTTTATCTATTTTTGGTATATTAAGAGAACAACTGTAAAGAGCTGCCAGTAACCAAATTTACAACAGATAAGACTTTTAAATGAGCTCTCACAGTCATGACTCGTGGTCAAATTTTTACTGTCCTCGTATCAATCACGTTTGTTTTAAGCTAATTTTTTTTTGTAAAAGTTTGATGTATATAAAACAGTGATCGGCATCAATCCAATAACGGCACGAAGCCGGTACGTTTTCTTGGTTTCTGCCGCAGAACACTCCTATCCTCGATTGGATGTATATTTATTACAGCCAAAACAAGACCAACAAAATGTTGCCACATCGTGTATTTACGGCACTGAATATGTAAATGTAAGCTTTGCGCATCAATTAGTCGGTGATGATCGAAACAAAATATTGATTTGATTTTGATATTTTAAAAGATTTAAAGAAAAGAATATATTATGTATTATAAATAAATTTAGTTTCGATGCAATGCAACAGAAAGCTTTTGACCCTCCCACCCGATGGATGCCCAAAATTGAGTAATTTGTAATGCTAGTCCAATCCATAGGTACGAGAAAGAGAGTCTTGTTAAGAGTCCATTTTACGAATGATATTTATTGTTGTGGTTTGTTGTGATTTTAAATATTATAATTACTATTAAGAAAAAAATACGCACTTCATTTTGTTTGTTGAACTCTTTCAATACAGCATCCTCTCCGCACTTTTATACTTTTGCACATCTTGCACTTCTACTACCTCCAAAATGTTTTTGTTTATGTATTCGATACGTAATACCTGCTTCCGCTTTGGTGAATAGAAGAGCGAGTGTATCGTGTGTCGCGTGTCGCTTGTGTGTGTGTATGTATGGGAAGGGGTGTACATTTCCGTTTGAATGTGGAGTTGGAGTGTGCCTTATAAGGAATACAATTATGTGTGCAGTGCACATTTAATACCATCATTCAATTTGATTTAGCCACATTCACATTCATATGGGGATTAACTATACTTAATTATTCTTGATTTCGTGTGTTGTTAGGGGACCTTTAAACGCGTAAACCCTTACATAGTTTCATTATTTATTATCTCCGTAGTCATCATATGTGTATATTAATTTTTTTTGTAAATTTTTCTTTTGTATTCGTTGCGTGATTTTTTGCATGTTAATACATTTATATATATACGTACATATATGTTATACATATTCGTCGAATGCGGCCAAAATAAATATATAAATCCACTAACTTAAGTAGTACATGTTTTTTCTTTTGTTTGTTTGTCTTTCGTGTACATATATATGTATATTTAATGTCTTGAGCGGCGCACCTTAAGGTTTCAATGTTTTGGCATTTGAGTCTTCTTGCAATCAAGTCTATTGCACAGTAGCTTCTAAAAGTTTAAGGGGGGGGGCCTACTAAATAAAACACAGGGCCATACGGCACAACATTAGAGCCTGACACACTGTGCTCAATCGCTTTCTTCGTGTGTATTTTGAGCTATTGGATATACATACATATCATAGAACTATTCATGTATCATATAGTATGAGTATCAGTTATACTTGTTAAGTGTTTTAAATTTAATTTAAATTTATTTTCGATTGAGTTCCTATGCTAAGACACGCTTGAAAACGGATTTGTAATTCGTTGACATTGGTTTCCGTTTTCACAAATGAAAGGAAATTGGCGCTCTGCTGCGCTCTTCATACTTCCTTATTCATAGACATCGAAAATCGAAACATTTTTGGGGAATGATTCTTGTTATATTTGTTTACTCGTAATTAATACCACAATACATATATGAATCTGGTTTAGGTGCAACAAATTTTTCTTAGTTCCGTGTGTTATATGTAAATGTGTATAAATTGTAAATGAGTTTTCTTTAATACTGAAATTTAATTTAATACTGAAAGAACACGTACAATAAAAAAAATCTATGATTGTGCAAGATAAAACCATTCCATCCCATTGACCCTGTCAGTCACCCCACCGCCATGCATCCGTGTGTGAGTACAGACATATGACATAAATGGTAGGGTGCCAGGGTGAACAAATCTCAATTAACTATTTAAAAACAAAAACATATTCATTTGCTAAAAACATATGCCGTCAAGGGTTACCAACTTTAATTGCCCTGATCAGCCTGATCACGATTAAAAACGATAAGGAATGAATTAAAATGATTTAAAAAGTATTTGCATTGTCCTCCGGTCTGTCCGTTGCCGTTTTCCAATGGATATGCGGATACGGATAAAGACAGACTAACACGGTATGTTGTAACGGTTTAATGCGGTAAATGCCTTCGGTTACATTTTTACATATGTGTCTTGCCCATTTGATAGGCATCGTTTAAACAAATAACATTTTTGGTAGTCCAAAATAAAACACACCCATTCCAAATCTTGACCCAACCTAAGGCCAATTTGGAAGGAGTATGTATGTAGTGTAGTGTGTGGTGTTTTTGTGTTTTGTTTTTTTTTTTTTATATACTCGTATATATTGGGATAAAATTAGCTAGTTGCCTTCTATAACAAAAATAAGTAAAATATTTTCATTATTTTTTTTTGTTTTTTGTTTTTTTGTATCTTGATGAGCTATATATATATAGAACTATCAGTCTCACGTCCCATACCAAGGTAATAATACAAATTTTTTTGACATATTTGTAACGAACATACGTAGAGTAGATCCTGTACATATGCATAATAATTATTAGTTATATTGTGTGTCGTTCTTGTGTGCCGTGTTGTGCCTTGCTTATGTTGCGTTGTGGATGAGGAATGTGTACATACTACGTGTTGGCTACATTAACATATTATACAGTACACAGACACAGATTATAATATGCATGCAAATCTGATTGTGATATCTGAACAGATATACTGAAGCCTTGCGCTTGCTTGGGTTTAAGTGGGTAACCTCTCTGCTCCGCATCCTGCTCCCTCTCTGCTCTGCTCACTGACAGACAGAGTCTAAGTGCATGATACTTGTGCTCTCTCATTGGGGGGGTTTCGTTTCGTTTCTCATTCTCATTTACGTTCTTATAGCTTGTGTGCGATTTCATCGGTACAACAACAAGGGGACAGGACATACAGCAAGTACATACATCGGATGTAAGCAACATACAAACATACATAAAAACATTGATCTTTTTGCGGCCTGTTGCCTTCGTTTACGAGTATTTACGAGGATACACACGGATACACATACGTATGTGTGATTTAACACGCGTAATGTTACAGCTTTTTTTTGTTTGATTTTTGATTCAAATTTGTTTTTGTATTCGTATTCGACAACACCTAACACGTTCATACATCGATCGCATGCACATAACACATTTATGTTCGTAAATTAAATGCTAAATACAAGTACTGGGCTTAGGGTGAGTGAGGCTACTGCTCATACGGGGAAAAGTGTTTAGTGTTCAGTGACCCTTTGAGTTTCGTTTTCGGACGTGAAATTATTTGAGCGGTTGTAGGTAGGGTTTTGATTTTACTTTTTTTGGTTGACTGATAGATCTGACCACTGACGTGTGTAGATATATTGGGAAGAGTTCCATCTGGGTAACCGAGACCACCTTATGACTGCCACCAATGACTGCTGTGATGATTAAATGTCAATTTTTGTTTCGTTCCACGCCAATTTCCAGTTGTGTTAAAGTATCTCCGTCTCGTACACCTGCTTGGTGGTCGTTGTGGCTGTTTGGTGTTGAGAGTTTGCAGCAGCAGCGACCGCACCAGACGACCCTACTAATCCACCACCAACAGCGCCGCCGATCACACCGCTCGTAGCATCACTGACCAACACACCATTGGTAGCCGCCGCGGCAGATGCTGCCGCCGCAGCCGCGGCTCCACTAGCCTCGCAGGCCAAGCTCAATGCAGCGATTTTCTGCTGAATATTTGTCTCGCTGCCGAGCTTACGCAGCGTGTTATTAGCGCCGCCGGCCCCAGCAGCCATGTCCTGCGACGAGGGGCCGGTAACATCAACCGATGGAAGCTTGCTCATTTTTTGTAAACGCTGATACTGCTCTTGGAGCAATTTTTGCTTCTTTAGTAACTCCTGGTGGCGCATCTCGAGTGCCACCTGGCGTTGCACATGATCGTTACCGGACTCATTGCCACTCGAATTGTCGCCGCTTGATGTGTCGCCACTGGCGACAACCGAGGTGTCGATTCCGATTGAATTGACATTGGAATTTGAGTGGGCAATGGAATTGGCATTGGCTGCTGCTGCTGCTACTGTTGCTGCTCCTGATGCGGAAGCTATGTTCTGTGGCACGTTTGGGCTGGTTGGACTGGCCAGTGGACTGCGTGAGCTGGTGCGTGGCGGCGGTGGTGGCGGTATGCGTTTGTGGCCCACTTTCGTTATCAGATCAGCATTTCGCTCGGGTACGGGTGGTTTGTTGCTGCTGCTGCTGCCGGTGCCGGTGCCGCCACCATTGGCCAGATTTGGATCGCCGGGACGTGGCCCAGTGGGTGGTGGTAACTGAAGTTCGCTGTCCGACTCGCTGGGATAGGATTGCAGGCGTCGCAAGCTGCCCATATTTGTGTGCACCATGAGCTGCTGCTGCTGTTGCTGTTGTAGCTGCTGCTGATGCTGTTGTGATTGCAGCTGCAACTGCAGCTGCGACTGGGACTGCTGATGGGTGAGCACGCCTCGCTGTACTGGCACAGAGCCGGTGGCCACAGCAATGACCATGCTGCTAGTGGTTGCCTGTTGCATATTGATGTTGGCCTCCGTGTAGAGACGGGCCTGCGATATTTGCGTGGTGACGGTGCTTTGTACTGCGGCCTCAGCGCTGGCGCTTTCATCAGATGCCGAATCTTCGGGGCGAATCTACAGGAAGAGACTTGGGACATTTGAGTTCCGTTTCAGGTCAGACGATGGGAGTTTGGTGTGCTTAGTGCTTAAGGCTTAATGCTCTTACCTCGTATTGTTGTTGCTGTTGCTGCTGTTGTTGGGCTATGGGTTTGGAGAATGTCTTGAGCTCGTCTAGCAGAGCATCGAGTGCGTTTTCGGGTGCGAGTCCCCCGCTGATAGCGAACGACCCCATCCTGGGTGTTGGGATTGGCTACAATAACACACACACACACAGAGAGGAAGTTGGTAGTGAAATAAACGAACGATGAGGTGGCAACGTATTGCATAGTTCAAGTATGTAAATAAGAAGTGAATAACACCACACATATAAATAGATATATGGCAATTACGTACTCTTATCGCACAATTATATTCTCGCAAAAGATATTAGTCATAAGTAGTAGTAGTAGTAGTAGTAGGTACATATACACATATCTGATACAGTACGAGTTGTAACCCATCAATGAAACATACAGGTTTACATAGCTAAAAAGAAAAACAGAAACAGTGCGGCGGTGGCGATGGCGTGGGCGTGGCATGGCGTCTTTAATGAGTGCAAGTTGCATAGAGGAAAGTACAAATCATGCAGTGCCATACAAAAATCAATCACTATAAATATAAAATCACAAATATGTATATCCATATTTGCAGTAAAACATTGGGCAAACATCATCGCATTATCATGATAAGCAAGCATTCGATTAAGCATTGTACAACGGGGAGGGGTAGAAGGTATAGCAGTAGGTATGGTCTCGCTACATGTCTATATATATATATATGTGGGGTATATAGTAGAATTGCATCATCGTTATCGGAGCCTAAATTTGCAAACTTGGGACGGGGGCGAAATGTGTGCTTTCGAATGGTCGAATGGAGGAGTGGGTGAATTATCTATAAATATTTTGACTAAAAGAGAAGCTTCTAAGTAACAAAACAAAAAAATAACAGTAATCACAAATCATATATCCAACAAAGAAATGGTACCCCGATTTTTCGAATGCAGATGCAGAATAATAATACAAGTATTATATGACAAAGTTCTGTGTGTGCGTGTGGCCTACAGGTACGAGTATGTATGTATGTTTTTTTTTTTAGTAGTAGATGAAACATTAATAGTTGGCTCTTTATAACTATTTTTGTTGTTGTTTGTTGTTGTGAACAGAGCTTAAGGCTTTATTTTGCCTCATAAAAATATCTCTGAGTGTTGATGCTTTTATGAGTGAGAGGGGCGAGAACACGCCTTAAGATTGATTTGATTTGATTGATGATGGGTAAATAGGGGCGATTGGGTTGATGGATGGTTGAAACTTCAAAGACAACAATCGATGAGTGAGAACAGTGACTGAACAGTGATGACTGTTTGCATATATTTGGTTTGGTTGGTGTTTTTTTTTTTTTTTACTGCAATTCAATTGGCCGCTTGATTGTCTGATTAGGAGATAAATAGTTAATAGCTATGATGGTTACAGATTTCGGTTGTGGGGTTTCGGGTTTTGAAGTTTGGGATAGTTTTTTTTTTCAGGTTTTCGGGTGATATTTTTGACTGGGTGGTTGGGGGGGTAAAGGTGGGTAAAGTGGCGGTGTGTACATACATAAGCAAGGGTACATACATATACATACATACATATTCTCTAATTTGTATATATATACACACACATATGCGCTCTTCTCAACTACAAAAGTAGCATTAAAAATTAAATTAAATAGATACGAATGTACGAGTGTGTGTGTGGTGTGCGTGTGTCCATGTGGTGTGGTGTCACGACTCAGCGCAAGGAGTGGGTTCCATTTTGATTAATATAAAACATTAAACACTTAATGAATGGAAACCAAGACAAGGGGCGGCGGGTGGCTGGGTTCAAATTGTATGTGCGTATCTCTGTATAATCGTATCGTATATCTGCATGGTATGTATGTATGTATGTATGTAGCGTGTGGGCCTCTTCCTGCCTATACTTTAGCAGACATTCACTGTGCTCCCCACCCCCCTCCGAACATCCAATGTGCACGAACCCCCGGTTTCTCGATGTTACGAGTATTTCCATTATTTTTTGCATCTCTTCCGCATATGCGAATAACATAATTTGTTAAGTTTGTCTCTTGCTGTTTCTGGTAGAGTTTTGATGGAAACATACACGCGAGGAAGCTTCTAGGCATTACAGCAGAAGTGGGCACTGCTATGCTTCGGCAAATGCCGCAACAAACAAATATACGCGAAGTTCGAGGGACCGAAGCTCGGTGCTCGGTTCCAAATATCCAAAAACAAAGTATCCGAAATGTGTAATCGCTGCTCGAGTTTAGACTCGCTGATAGTGGTTCTTGTTTCTGCTTTTCACAACTGCATTACAGTATAGTATTTATACTATGTACTGAGACACCAGACAATGCCAAGAATGAAAGTGGCAGACAGACACCCAATGTCTCAGAGTTCTGCTTGAAGGGAAAATCTTGTAGGTACTTGTGTGATAAGTAACATTCGCTTTTGTTTTATTTGCATTGTCTATACAGAGCGCAGATAATGCCTGGCTACAAAGTATTGGGGGATCGGAATCGAATGCTCCTAACTATGTACATATGTATGTGGTATGTAGATGACCCTTACTCTATGGATTACTCCATGGATTGAACTACTCACTGCATGGGGGGGATACGTGTTGCTGTGTTGCGAACGAATTTGGGAGAGCAGAAAGGGAAGCGGGTTGAGGTCGAGGTTGGAGGGGGGCTAGGGAAGTGGATATCTCCTTTTGGAAGGACTTAAGAAGGACTTTAGAGGGGAATCTTAAATGGTGAGCACACACAGTCAGTCACACACACAGATGTTGCGATACAAATACATTGATATTGAGGTATAAATCGGTACACATACATATAGTATATACTGGCTGAGAAGAAGGTGTTGCAGTGGTTCAGATATCAGATTGTTGGGTGAGTTTCTTCTGGTTTTCTGGTGGCTTATGGATAGCTTTGATGAGTTATTTTTTTTTTTTTGGTATATGTTTTTTGTTTTGAGTTTTAGTACGAGTATTAGTTTTAGTTAGAAGTTTATAGCAGTAGTAAGTAGTATACAAAATATAAACTAGTATGTTTAATGCAGAGCAAATTATGTTTAGCAAAAAGAAAATTGACTTAGTTTTTAATGAATTTTGTTTTTCATTTTTTTTTTTTTTTTTTCATAAAACGTGCCCTTCTTTTGGATTTTACAATTAAAAAATTAATTTTAATTTGTTTTTTTTTGGTATTTGGTTTTTGTAAAATTTGTCTTTATATTTGGATTTTTCAGTCATTACTCAGTAATTGCCTCTTTGAAGTTTGAACTCCATCGCCAGTTAAACTATGTGGGTTGTAGAGTTGTTGTTGGGAAACGATAATCAAAAAATGTTTGAGAAAAGGCAAGAACAAGAAGAAACGAAGGGTAAACCTCATTTTATAAGACGTTAAGCTTTGGATAAATTCAACTTTTGTGTGATTCTGTTTCTGTTTTCAATTATTATTATTTTGCATATATATAATAATATTTTTTTTTTGTTTGTTTGGTTTGGTTTGGCTTTTGTCAGCTTACATGGTGATATGATAGTAGTAGTAGGATTGAGACTTGATTGATACTTGTATATTATATTGTTGGTATTGTTGGTATTTTGGTGGATGGAATTTTTGTAATTGTAATTGCAAAATTTGCAAACTGTAATTGTATTCGTTTTAGTGGTTGGTTTCTTTGGTTGTGTGTGTGTGTGTGTGTTTTAAATACCTAATATGTAAGACCCAACAAATGCAAAAGCTCAGTACAGTACAGTAATTAGCTTGCAGGATGATGGGTGGGAGGGAGTTGGTTGGGACTAGGGGTTATCTATATATGTTTATATATATATATATCGGCGAAGCTATATCACGGTGGGTGTTGTTTTTGTTAGCGGTGCGCTTTGCTTTTGCCGATTAACATTCACTCAACTTAAAAACATTTTTTCGTTCTATTGAGTAATTGAATTGAATTTGATTTGAAACTCTCGTTGAATGCATTTGGTTGGAATGAATGGTTGATTGGTTTGGTTTGGTTTAGTTGGTTTGGTTGGTTTGGGTGTGAAATGATAGATGAACCAAAACACTATTTATTATAAACAACAGCCAATTGCAACTTATTCATAAGGTAATCGCACAAAATATATAAACCAAAACTACAAACGAATAAGTGTTAAGTAATCAAGGTCATTTCAGTTTCGATCCAACTATGTGGGTGGTTATTTTTATTCGTTATTCGTATTGGTATTGGTATTCGTAATTGGATAAATCTTCAGCTTTGCTTTGCACAGTACTCAAATCTCAAATGATGATTGTAGGAGTTTTTAATGTGTTTTGGAGGAGGTTCTTGGTGGATTGGCTGGTTGGTTGGTTGGTTTGTGAAAAATGAGCTCAAAACTAAACTGAAGGTGAAGGGCAGAGGGCACTCCCTCGTTTGACTACTTGCAGTCCCTTTGGTTATGGATGACAGGAACAGACTGACAGACAGATGGAACAGACGGGACTGGTAGCAATAAGTAAGCAGTCACGGGCTTCGTAGCTTCGCGCCTCGTACCGAAGTTCCATCGAAGATGACGAGCCTGGGACTGGAGCACTAGACTGGTTCAAAGGTGGAGAGGTGGTTTCGAAAATGAAAGCATAGCAAAACTCGATACATGGGTAGGACGTAAGCAATCTATTGTATGCAATCTCTGCGATATAATTAGTAGTGGAAACAATACTTTTATACATATACAATATAGATCTGTATATATAGTCATGACACGTTATGTAGCAGTATTATTTATATGTGTATAAGTATGTATATCGATATGGGTATGGCTATGGATATGGATATGTGGGCATTGCTTGGCTTGGATATTGACTTGGACATGTGGAACTAGCTCTCTGTGTAACTGTCTCAGTACAACGGTGTTGAAGGGGTCATCGTCGTCTCCTCTCTCTCTCCCTCTTGCGAGCTTTGCACTGTTGCACTTACCTTATCGGGCGCCGTGATGTCCGCAGAGCGTGGTGGCTCTTCGCTGATTGCCGGCTCATTGGGCGGCAGGCGCTGCTCCTGCACGCTGGCCAAACTATGGGAACGGGTGGGGAATAAATGGTGTGGGCATCACATTAGCCATGGATCTATCAAATATAGGTTGGGGCAAGCATTGCGAAGCGGCTACAAACCGTTTAAGCGTCACCAATGTCCCAGTCAGCTTCTTGCAGCGCCGCAGCGCCGACTCCAAGCGGTCGGGCTCTTCTTTGAGGAACTTTTCTTCGCGCACCACCTTCTCCATTTCGCTGGACAGAATGCAGCGCAAGCCATTCGACAGAGACGGAAACTTGAGCTTGAGTTCGGCCACCGTTTTGCTGCAAACAACAACATCAAAAGTGGCAACAACATGGGGCAGATTTGGTAGCTACCTGGCGCGGCTCAACACCAGAGCCATATCCTCCACGGCGGTCATGTTGACCCGTGTACGCCGATTGATCACCTCACCGCGCAAATTCTCCACCGATCCCTCGAGGTCACTGAGATCCTTTTCGAGGCGTATGACCTCCTGCTTGTAGAGCTCCTCCTCGCGCGTCACTCGCGTGGCATCCTGATCGCCCTGCTGGCCCCAGAAGCTGCCGCTGCTTGCCAGCAGAGTGGCACGAATGCGCATAAATGTACCCTTGATGTCCTCCCGCACGGCGACGGCCTGGGCCTGCGACAGACGCCGCAGTGTGCGCACCTCCATGCGCAGGTCCTTGGCTTTCTTCTGCAGCCCACGCAGGTGGTTGTAGACCTCGGGGGCCAGCGTTATGTCCGCCCGGTAGTTGGGATGTGCCGTCTGGGCCAGCACAATCGGCTTGGGCGGTGGAGGGGGCTTCAGGCGATCGCGCTCTGCGGAGTCAATTAATTGTTTGTACTTTTACTTTCTATGAGGAGTGTGGGCTAGTGATTTGGTGGTTCAGATGCTGATGGTGACAGGGTTGGTGGCATACGTGGCTTGTGATGTGGGGGCGGGGGATGTGGTGATGTGGAGGTGACGCTCTTACCTTGTGACGATGTGCGTGGTAGGGTGGACGACTTGATTGCCGGCTTGGTAGGTTTCGTATCAGCTGTCCGAATCACAGGTCCGTTTCAGTTGCGTGGCAAGAGAATGGTAAACATTTGGCATTGTACGATCTTATTGGGCATTATGTCTAAGGGCCTACCCCCATGTACTTCGACTATTTTCAGTGGCAACCCAACCTTTGCGCATATTGGGGTACATATGTTTATGGAAATAGCAGAACGAAAGTCTTTGCATACCCTTGCAGATCTATTTGCTGATTCTATTCGTACCAGAGATCACAAATAACTATTATTTAATTACAAACATAGAAATAAATAAATAAAATAAAATATCTTTGGAGCTTATAATTTGTATCCAGTTCTAGACCTAGATCCCCTATGAGCCCTGATTTGTACTGAGTGCATCTAATACTCAGTTAAACGCTTTCAAAATACAACCAAAGGCAATCCAACGACGATCCACGACTTGTGTTCGTGTGAATCTTCCGCTCTCGGTTGGGTGTGGCAGAAAGAAAGCTTTGGTAAGAGTATATAATCTATTCAATCTAATTTATAATTAAACTGAGGGATCCTACACATTAAATAGTTATTTTTAAATTAAAAGCTGGCTGCTCGTTCCAGTGGCAGTTTTACACAAACGACAGACAGACAGACGAACAAAAAGAACTCTGGCTAAATAGACATCGATTCATAATACCCTTTGCAAGGGTACAAATACACGCATACCACATACATATGCACATAATGTGGGAATGAATTTGAATTTTAATTACCGGCATGTAGTGGATTATGGGACTTGGGATTGTGGCCCTGTATGTCATCGCTAAAGGACACTGATTTCTCAAAGGACACGGATTTCTCTGCAAGATAAATGGAATCATGTCGCCGGCTGTCGAGGTGGGCAGCGTGGAAGAACTTACGGCACGAGTTCTTGCCTAACTTGGGAGCCTTCTCCCGAATGTACATGTCATCACCGGAGCCATTTGCTGTGCGCCAAACAGAGAAAGAAACAAAAAAGAAAAGAGAAACAAAGCGAGACAGCACATGTAGCAAGGAATCAAACAAATATAAATATAGTATGGGAACACGGCTGTTGTGGATTTTTGTGTGCTAGAAGCCTTAAAAAAGGACGCGTTCATGTGCATGCATATATATATATATATATAATTATATATATAGTTACAGGTACAAAACATCTAACATCGGAATGGTGATACCCTGTTCGTCGGGTTCTTGTTGTTGTGCTGGTGATTTAGGGTTTTGTGACGTACCTTGCATCTGCGACTGGGATGGCACAACCAGATAGTTGGAGTCCAGTGTGGGCACCGCCAGTGGTGCTATTTGTGGATTCTGATTAACCAAAGCCTTCTGCACCAGTCCCGTCAGATTGGCCAACTGCCGCTCCATGTGCTCCACGCGTATGCGGTGCAACTCTTCTGGCCTGCAAAAGAGACATCAAACAAACAAACATCCATGAAAACTGGTTCGGGGGCTTGCGTCTCAGCAGATTATTGCGTATTGCGTGTTTTCATGTCGCGCATTCGCATTCGCATTTACTGGGCCACACTTCCGTCGCTCCAATTGCGCAGTCTCGCAGTCAAAAAGCCTAGCCACAAGGCACTCGTCGCCGGCACCGTCACCGGAATCAAAGTCGCTGTGGCGCACTTAGCGCATTGAAGCGTGAACCAAAAAGCCAGCCAAGAATGCTGCTGCTCTTGGCACTAGCAGCACTGATGGGACTAGCAGATACCCTGCCAAAAGGGACGGGGGCATCCATCAAGCGTAGATCAGCTACGCTTTCATCGAGCCAAAAACACCCTGGGCATGGTGCACCGTGCACCGTGTACATCTGGTACACGCAATGACGTTCCATGTTCGAGCTGCTTTCTCAGTTTGCAGTTGACAGTCGAATGCAACAGCAACGGCAGCAGAACCATGGCCTATTGCAGCGGTATGTACAAGTATCGTTTATTTGATTGGGCAACTTCTCGTGGCCCTGCACTCCAGTTGTAACCGCAAAATCGTTTTCCCAGTGACCAGCACACCGGAGCGTTTCGCCCAATGTCTGACCAACTTTCAATTGGATGAACTTTTGATGCTGAAAAAGTCGATGGAGCGCATGGGAGCGCTGGATGACAGTACCAGTGCCCGCGAAGACCCGCAGCTGGCACACACCACAGACTGCCCCGAGGCAGAGGCGAGCCATGTGCCCCAGCGCATGGCCTTGATGGCAGCTGACCGGTAGGCGTCTCTCCATTGCTGGCTTGATTTTCAAACATCTCACTCGTGTGTGCATTGCAGAGGGGACTATGAGAGCACTGGCTCTCATGCACCGTGGCAAGGCCACTCGGCGCCGTCCTGGACGGAACCGAAGCCCTCCAAGCTGCAGACACTGTTCCAGGTCAGCATCACGGCCCTGGCCTTTCTCTCGTTCGGTGGCTACCTGCTCTGCCTGATCGTTCAGGCCATCAAGAGCAAAGGCACCACCTACTTCCATCCGGTGGCCACCGCCATGAGCACCTCGAACAATGGCAACGTCAAACGCATCAAGATCTACAGGCGGAGCAAGCGGAGTGCCCACGGAGTGGGCGACATACCCAGCAAGAGCATCCTGCTGCAGCAGGACTATGCCACCTACATGAATGCGGTGCGGGGCCAACGCTGGGCGATGCTCACCTAGAGGGATCATAGATCTGATTGCCGCGATGCGCCATCCGATTGGGACCCGGCACCTTGATGCCGTACAATGCATACTGATCCTCGGTGAGGGCCACATCGCTGTGCATACAAAGAAAAATACTTAGATTAGCAAAAAACATCCTCATTCGACGTGCAACGTGCAACGTGCGACGTACCTCTGCTCCTCGTCTATGATGGGTGCCACAACAGCGCCCCGTGTACCATATTGGCTGTAGTAGGGCTCCTCGTAATTGCCGCGGCTGCTGCGCTCTGGAGAACTGGTGTAGCCGTCTGTAAAATGGTTTATAGCACAGCTCAGATTACTATCTGGTTGCTGGTCTCTTCTAGGGTGGGGGCGGTGGGGTGTCACATGCATACGCATATTTATAGGCAATTTTTTTTGTTAGAATTTAGAAACAAAACAAAACAACAGGGGAAAGAACATAAAATAAAGCTCCAAATACAAGAGAGGGGAGGGGGCAATGGTAACTGATCAAATTAATGCTCTCTGATTCGTCGCTTATCGTGGGTGTTCAATTTCCGAAGAACCCAAAACGCAAGCACAATGGAAATGCCAATGGAAATGTTCACAGTAGAATGGAAAAAGGGTCTTGTGTGTGTGAAAGCTTTTTTTGTATTAGAAGAGTAGGCATAAGTACATATACGAGTAGTAGTATTAGTATTTGCTGGTGTACCTGGAATGCTGTATAACTGATCCTGGGTATAGGGAAACAGGGGTTCCATGCTACCCCTTGGATTGACTGTTCTTAGTGGTTTCACAGGCGCTCCTTTACAGGGTATTTTTTTTTTTGGTTTTTTTTTTTTTTTTTATATATGTGTGCGTGTGTGTATGTTTGTGTATTGGGTTAATGAATTGAACATGATTCATATTTAGATAGAAAGTTTCACTAGATTTACGTTACGAATAGAGGAGTGGACTATGTGTAAGCGAATTATAACAAATAGAAAAATAATTCAGAAATTATTAAATCAAAAGGAGAGTGGAGTAGGGGAGCATCGACAGATCACAGCATCCATCCGCATAATCAACGATCAAAATTAAAGTTAGGAAAAAGGGAAAATAGGACAAAAACCGAATGTAAAAAATATGCAAAAAAAACAAAACAGGAAAAAAAGAGTTAGTAGAGGGAAATAATAATAGAAAATTTCTAGGGGGGTGGGGTACACTAGACACTACAATTACGCACCCATCGAGACTTTGTTGCGTTCTGAAGAGTACATGCCACGAGGCAGGGTCTGCGATGAGCCCACATAGTAGGGCGCCGGTTGTTTGCCAATCTGCAAAAAAAAAAAAAACAAAAAATATGGAGTGTAAATTTTATTAAATTGCCACAAGGCTTAGGGCATTATGATGATGATGATGATGAGTAAGGGAATTTACAATATAGTGGGCATATGTGTTGTGTGTGTGTGCTCAAAACGCTGCCAATTGGCCTTCGTTCAAGTAGTTTCTCTTCTCTCTTGAACTGTCCACACGAACCATGAACGACGAACCACGTACACAACCGGAATCGGAATCGTACGAAATGGGCCGCCAAATTGTTAAGATTAATGCCCGTTAATTGGCATTTGACCCCACCCACCAATCAGTCAAGCAGCGAAACCGTTTGCCAAATAAAAAAAATCCCATTGAGCATGAAAGCTTTTCCCTGTTTCCAATGAAATCATCAACGAGGATCACTGGGTCAAGCGCACAAATTTATGTCCGAGGCTATTTTGTTTTATTATTATTCATATATATTTGATGCATTAATTTGTATTCCAGAATCCAGACATGGACATGGAAAACAATACGAGTTTGTGCCGCATAATAGGATTCGTTCTATTGGGATTGCAAATTAGTTTTATTATGGATTGCCAGTGACTCGCATCATTTAGTGGCAGTGGGACGACTTTATCTCTGTGTGTGGTGCAGCAGCAAGTGCAAGTGGTGGTCGGGTCGGTCTATCGGTTGGCACATTCGCTGTGCCGCCAGTTATGGCAGCAGCAGCAGACAGGCAGACCTCAACCAGTTTTAGTTTCAATTTCAATACAACAATTTTACAACAATTTGTTACAACTGAGCGGCAGCAGACCGAGAGCTGCTGCTGCTGCTGAGAGCTCTACTCTACACTCAACACTCGACAAACGGTGTGCCCCGCTCTTTGGCTGCTGCTGCCTGGGTTTTCGGCGCAAACTTAACTTGGCTTTGGCGCATGCGTGGATGATTAGTGAAGTGCGATCCATCGCGGCAAACAGACGTTGCAGACCGAACAGAAACCGAACTTTCGTTAAGACATAATATCCCCGATAGAGTTCACATAGAAATGAGGCATATCCGCAAGGCAAGCGGCACCGGAACTGATGTCTCTCCTGCCGATCGCCATTCTCGCGCTCAATGTGTGCCCTACGTCGTTCGCCTGGAAGCCAATTGCAGTCTCCTCGGGCTCCGCCACCAGCGGTGGCAGCAGCAGCACAGCCTCCTACAGCCTCAAGCAATCGCATCCGGGCTCCGCCAGCAGCAGTCACGAGCTGGCCACAAGCTTTGCCCAGTTCGGTGCTGGCAAGGACTCGGCGGAAGGCGACATCGGTGGCGGCGAGGACGAACTGCTGCTGGCCCGCGCTGCCATTGTGAATGGTGTGGATCTGGATCATCCAGCGTCGGTGGCCCATCCCATATCGTTCGGCGATCATGTGGAGGATCAGTACGAGTCCTACAGCATCGAGGATGAGACCCACAAGGAGCCGCAGCTGACCTTCACGCGGACACCGCTCTACGGCTCCGATCGCTGTAGTGTGAAAAAGTTTGCCTTCAATCAGGACGGAGAGGTCGAGTACGGGAATCCGCTGCTGCCCGAGCTGGATCAGTTTACGCTCTGCTTCTGGATGCGTTTCACCAATCACAGTGGAGATCATGTCCTTCTAACCTACGAGGGTGAGTCGGCCCCAGCCCCAGACCCAGTTCCAGCTCCAGTTTGGATTTATGAATGTAGGGTAGGGCAGGGTAGGGTAGGGTAGGGTTTGTTTGGGTTGGGTTGGGTCAAAGCCTCTAACCATGACTTGCTTCATCGAGCTCAATCCCCCCCCCCATACACACACACACACACACACAAAAAGAGTGGCCAAGCGAACTGTTATATAAGCTCAGCACGGGGGCAATAGACGTAAGTCTATTGATGCCCCACCACAAAGCCAGCAACCAGCAGCCAGCAGCCAGAGACCTTCGCTGTGCGCAACGAAATTTGTGGGCCACGCTCTGGCGGCGTCGCTGGCCTGCACCTGGCCTGTGGGGGACAGCAGACTGCTGTGACTGTGAAAGTGAAAGGAAGCCAACTTCCTGATGCAAGTCGGCGCACCGCCAGACCCCACTGTGTCGACTGAAGACGACAGGTTGACGAGCCACAAAAACAAGAGTCAATCTGATGGTCAATGATGCTGCTGCCACTGCTGATGTTGCTTTTGGGGTCGTGTCCGGTTATTGGGTGTGCCATGCCGGGGCATGCCATTCGGCGGCATTCATTGTGTGTGTTTTTCTTTCAAGTGGGCAGCCACCACCTTTCAGATAAGATTAAGATTTTTGATTTTGATTTTCTTCGTCTTCAAATCTGACAATTTAATAGTGCGGTAGCTGCCCCATCGATGCTGCTGCTGCTAGTGCTGCTGTTGTTGTTGTTTTTGTCGTTGCGGTCGCCGCTTACATAAGGCGATAATTTACCTGTTTCCAGTTGGATGTCGTCGGCCGCTGGCACGCTGTACCGCTGCACCACTGCACCGCTGTACCACTGTACCTCTGCACCTCTTTCCACTGTTTTAGCGCCTGATTTTAGCATTTGACATAATTTCAAAGATTCAATTGAAGCAGCAGCCAAAGCTAAAGCCGGGCCGCTTCCGGATTGCTGACCGAGAGACGGAGACAGACGCCAACAAGCGGGGAAGCCAGAGCTAGGAAATTGTTTAGTCACAGCAGCGAGTGATTCATAATTACTATAAAATGCATATCACATGCTAAAAACGACGACTAACAGGATTTCCCCGGCAGCCTTCGAGCCGCTCAGCCGATTGTGCAACGTGTGAGGGGTGAGGCGGCTTCCTGCTTGGGCAAGGGGCTTTAAAGCCGAAGCTGAATGAAAATGAAAGCCATTGATTCTTTTGTGGGTGAACCGCGTTCTGTTGCCAAGTCTTCCTTCTGTCTGTCTGTCTCTCGTTTGCTATTGCAGCATCGTTTTAATTTCATAATCATCAACGCCATCCATGGCGATAGCCATAGCCATAGCCAATCCACACTGATCCACTTCTATCATCCATCCCATCCATCCATCCACATACAGCTGGCAAGGAATCGCGAGAGATACAAATCTGGGTCGCGAATGCGCAAAATTCCAGTTTCCTTTCGATGGCTATAAAAGGTCAGCAAATGTACAGGTGAGTCGTCGCATATGTATGTATGTATGTATGTATGTATGTATGTATATTGCACTACATCCATCGATCAATCCAACTGACAATCTGACTAATCGTGGTAATGATTTCTTGCTTGGTTTCTATTTCTATTTGTGCTTTCTGTTTGCTTTTGTGCTCTTGCTTCTGCATCTCTGCTGTGGCGATGAAGACTCAACTATCCGCTGCGAATGCGCCAGTGGCACCACATGTGCACCTCATGGAATGGCAAGACGGGCGAATGGCAGGCCTGGCTCAAGGCAGAACGCATTGGGCGTGGCTTCCATAACTCGGTGAGTACTGCTGCTAACTGTTAACGGTTAACTGCTACTGCTGGCCACGGCCCGTCTCCAATTACTGCCAATTGCAAAATTATCGAGTCGAGTCGAGTTGATTTGAGTTGAGTCTCTGTGGCTGCGCAATCCCCCGACGCTTTTACTTTCGTCGCGCTGTCGATGACGAGATGACGACGAGGTGCTGTAATCCAATTTATAGCCGGCCCACTTCTCTTTTTGCAGCTTGTGGGCCATAAAATTCCAGCAAATGGAAAGCTACGCTCTGGCGGCACCTCGATCACCGGCGATGTTAGCCACGGCCTGCACTTTGAGATGACAATGGTCCAGGTGTATCGCGTGGCCCTCAGTGCCGGCAAGGCCCATCGCGATCACAAGCATCATCACGTGCATCATTTTGATCATGAAGGACAGGAGGTATCCAGCACAGTGCGTCCCCCACCCATAGTGAGTGTCTGTTCCAAAATATTCCTTGATTTATCGCTTCAATTTGTGTGCTCTCTCTCTTGCAGATAAATCGACCACAGCCAATGCACACGCTGCTGGCCAGTGGCCAGATACCCACGCGTTTGCGCATCAATCTGGCCAATCCACCCAGCGACGGAGCTGCAGCGCCAGCTGCTGGTTCCGATGCAGCACTGCAGCAGCAAAGCAGCAGCAGCAGCAGGGCATCACATTCAATACAAACTTCGTGAACGGACAAATCAATGCGGGCTCTCGCCTGGTGGCACAGCAGCTTCTGGGGCTTCCGGCAAAGAACGGCATTCCGCAGCAGTCCACTGGCAGCCGCTTCCAAATGCTAAGCAATTCGGCGAATGTTCAGTTCATCGACGAGACGGAGACCCATATACAGTTCAAGCGAGCAGCAGGAGCAGCAGCACCCGGAGCAGCAGCAGACGAGAAGAAACTGAAGAAGCGCGGACTGGTACTGCTGGACGATGGATCTGTGGTTGACGATGGCAGGGATACCGATGCCAGCGAGATCTACAACGGCCTCGCCGACTACGGTGGCCAGCAATTTAAGCAGGATCTCACCCAAAAGATGAACCTCGAGGAAGAGATCAGCACGCACGACCGGGAGCCCGCCGAGGAGGAGGTGAAGGCCGTCATGGCCATATGCAGCAGCTGTCATGCCGAGCCCTTCCAGGGTGCCATCGTCTTTGCGTGGAAGGAGGTGCAGGAGCACATGAACAATGCACTCAAGGGCCTCAGCGTGGGCACCTGCGGCAACTTCTAGTTCTGGCCCGGCAGGGCAGTCTTTAGCTTAGTCCATGTCCATGTACCATAGACCCCCGATAGTCCCTTATTATTTTTTTTTTTTGTATATATGTATGTACGAGTGCGTTTCAATTCGGTGTGTGTGATTCCGATTTTGCTTGTTCTGGCATGTCCATGTGGGAGTCAACGCTTTAGAGTGGAGGCATCGGAGGCTCGGCTCCCCAACGATCTTTGACTCGCCCATGGACATGACCCATGGCCCATGGCCCATGACCCACTCTCTCCGCATCCGCATCCTCACCTCACAAACAAAACCAGCCCTAGCAACTACGCGGTGATATTGAATAAACACAGAAAAAGGATTATTTAAACGAGGCTGCCGGCCCCCTTCTGCTCACCTTGGACTTGTGGATGTGCTGGTGCTTGTAGTCCGAATCGAATTCCGGTTCGCTGAAGTAGCTCTGATCCTGATCCCAGTTGGCCGGCGCTTGAGACTGGGGCAGGGGCTGCGGTATGCCGGGGCCGCCGGGCAAGATCTGGGGTGGTGCTGCCACCTCTGTGGACTCGAAGAGGCGCAGCACAGAGCGATCGCGGATCTCGCGCAGATGGGAGCGCACATCCTCCAGCTCGTAGAACATGTCCTTGCTGGCGTCGTGTATGTAGATCTTCACGTTGGGCCCCTCCAAGTACGACATGGTCAGTTGGCGCGGAAAAGAGCGCACAAACAGCGCACGGACCGTGTCAATGGAGGTGATCTCGTTCGGCAGCAGTGCTCGCTTCGTCTCCGAGCGATACTGCAGAAAGACCAGCCCCAGCGGACGCTCGAGTGTCTTTGAGGGGGTGCGCACCACTGGCAGCGATGAGCGCTGCTTTCCGCCACGACGAAATCCGGTACTGGCCGTCTCCACCTCGGACATTATGCCCGGATCGTCGTCAAACAGCGGGCCCTGATTGACGGGCGCATAGCCACGCATTGGCTGATTCTTTTTGTTTTTTTGAGCGCGTGTGCTCATCTGTGAAATATCCAGCCATAATTATTGCAAATATTGTGGCACAAATACGATTTTGTTTTTGTTGTGCTAAGCTCACCTCTAGGTCCATAGCGCGCTGCTGTTGTGGTGCCATTTGATGTGCGTGCGGATGCTGTGAGCCACCGTAGACCATTATATCGCCGCCAAGTGTGTGGCGCCTGGGATCGTCGCGTCTCATGGCGCGTCGTCGTTCGTCGCCGCCTCCTTTCCAAAGCAACAAACAGACAGACAGATCAGTAGGCGAACCAGATGACAGGATACAAAAACACAATGATCTTTAGCAAATTATTCACTTACCCTGTTCATTTGGCGGCATACGTCCTGATTTGTTTTCATTTTGCCAGTCTTCTTCTGGATTGGAAAGAGATAGCGATAGAAAGAAGTACCGATAAGTTGTGCAAGTCGTTTTGCAGCACTGCACAAATGGGCCGAACGCGTTAGGATATTCCTTATCCTGCTTGCGTCGTAACGGCTTCTACGCCTACTTACCGCCTTCACGCCCCTTGCGTTTCTTCTTTGATGATGAACTGTTGCTGCCGCAGGCATTTTGATTTGCGGATGCGCTTTTATCTTTACTCTTCCAGCGTATCAACATTTTTGTGATGGTTTTAAAATGCTTTTCGAGGCGTGTTGTACGATGCGGAAGCTGCAAATTGAGAAAACGGTAAGGTTAAGGCTGTTGGTCAGAGTTCATTTACTGCATTAGCGGTGCAGATTTTCCCCAAAGTTACGCCCTTGTAATTGAGACTGTAATTAGAGAGTATTTTGACTAATTTTGAATGATCTACTAAGAGGACATAGCGGCTATCTGATCTGAGTTTGAGCCAAAATGACAAAATATTTCATAAACGCAAAACGACCAAGGGGCGCTGTTCGTAAGGGGCGTACATGGGAAAAGCAGGAATTTAAACTCCGTTAGACGTAACTTTTCTACATATGAAACTTAAAATGCTAAAAACTAAATTGTTTAGGGATTAACTCGGTTCGGGCTGATGATTTGCGAGAAAGAGTTCATCAAGCGGAAAGCTTTCATTGAATAAACCAAAAGGCATTGGAATACCATTGGTAAAGGTTTGTTTCATCTTAAGCTCACTTTTAATTGTCTGCCATTTCAATTCCTGCCGATCAACCAATATTGATATAAATAAATATTTATGCACGGTGTATGTTGTGCATATGGGTGTTATATGTGTACATACATATGTATGTATATATACCTATGTACATGGTGAGCACATATAACATGCATTTGTGGTATACTTTTCAATGCATATCTATACATAAAATATGCATGTAAATATGTACATACTGAAAGAATTTTTGATTAGATTTAGGTGCGGCGTTCCATCCGCACTTACACTTGCAGCCCAGCCAACTAGCTGCCACCCACAGTTGCCTCCTCTTTGGCGAATATATGTATATAAAAATGTACACACATATGTAAAAGTGTAAAGTGTAACTGCGTGCACTTAATACACATTCATTTACATCCACGCACAACTAATGTAGTTTTGTGCTTTATTTTACATAGTTTTCAGAGGCAGCACAAAATATTCTATACACCTGGAGCAGCATAGGCCTGCCCGCCCGCACGCCCCATACGGGAGTCCCGGATCGGGTCGGGTCCCGGGCCCTACGCTGTGTGAGTGTGTGTACCCCAAGTACCGAGGGGTATGTACAGAGATGTATATGTTGCACGAAGAATGCAAGTGGCAAGTGGGAATCCGTGATAAGTTTCAGTGGCACACACACATACTACACACACACACACACAGCGCGAATGGGCCGGTGGTTTCTTTTTGTTGTGGCTGGTATGCCTTAACCGTTTTGGATGTTTATTAAACGCTACCAAAAAATTAATGCAGAGAGGGTTTAGCCAGGTACCCAGGTCGTGGAGCTGGAGCTTACCGTGTGTGCCGTGGTATGCGACCGCTTTTAAAAACCGTTCGATGCGATTTAACGTAGTACTCAGCAGCAGCACAGCCACCGCCACAGTAGAACAGCAGAAGAGTAAAAATATTTCTGGTATATCTACATCAGAAAAGCGTTTCCGCCCTAAATCGTACACGGGCTAATTCTGCAGGCGCATGCGTGGGACCAAAAGTCAGGGAATCGAGTGCTCTGTGGCCGTGCTGTCTGCTAGGGAGGATAGAGGCCTTTCCAGTTGTTTCGAGTTGTTGACTTGACTTCATTTGCACACTGGCCAAAGAAATGGCTGCATTGTGATGCATCAAAAGGACACAGTTGCATAAAGAATTGACTAAGAGACGTAGAATTGACTCCTTTGGTGCGTATCGTTATCGATATCGCATGTACACATCGACTATCGGATTCTTATCGATTGGGATCGATTTTTCGATTTGTGATTTTTACGCAGATAATGATAATTCGCTGCAACCAAATAAAGCTCTCTCTATGTCGAGGTTTCCACATGGATATAAGCAATAAATGGAGCCTTAATTGGATCACATTACCACATGTACACTTTTTGATTCAGCCCTACCCTAATGTGTGAATTGAACACTCCTTCAGCTTAAGTTCAGGAGACGTTTACACCCAATGACCAATCTTTGATGTGGGACGCCCTAGAGAGAGATAGTTATACGACTTGCTACAGTGAGAGGATGCTGTAAAAGAGAGCTATCACTCACTTTCAAAATAGATCATAATGTCCCCAGGTGTTAAATCTGCTACTAATTAAAATTCCTCTGGCCTCATGATCCACTATGTTACATCTTCCTTTGAGCTGATAGAATGATTTAGCTAAGGGACCAAGACCACGGAGTGAAGACGCTCCTGGAAGGCTTTCTGAGACGTCTCCACAACTGATGCAGCGCAACTGATGCATGCAAGTCACATCTACAGGGTAGCTTCAGCTTGCATGGTATATATATTTTAAAGTTAATTTTTTTTACATATTTCCCTTTTAGATGATGAATACAGCAGTGGGTTAGGGATATACAGAAATTTATATACAATATAGTTTATTCCGATCTGCGGGCGTGCGCGTGGATCGATCGGTTAAATATATAATACAGGTTTCTCCATCTTCGACACCTACATACATATTTATTCGGGCGTGTGTGCATGTGTGTGGATCATTGATGATCACACAAATTACACTAACTGGGGGGCTTAATCGAAATACTTGTATAGCTTTAAAACTAATTGTGTGTGTGTTTTTCTTCTGTTTGTTTGTATATATATAAATATGTATTGGGTTAATTTTTTTAGCATTTGTTTCCGTGCCTGCTAATTTCTGCTACTTTCTCTTCTCCTATCAATTTATACAAATTTTCTTTAGGTTTTTTTTTTGTTTCTTCCAAAAAAAATCTCTGGACTCTGGATCTGCCTTTTCTTTCCTTCTTCTTTCTGCTACTTTGTACGTTTGTTTTTGTTCTTCGTCTCTCATTCCGTTAAAGCTTAAACTTAAATTTATGAGAAAGACAGAGATAGCAAGAGCGAGGGAGAAAAAGAGAGAGAAACAAAACACGCAACGGGTGGGGTGGTGGCTGAGAGTACACTGGGAAAATCATGAGGGGCGCGCGAAATACTAAAACTAACTTTATATTTGCACTACTAGCTAATGCTAGGAGAAAGTCTGAGCCAGCGACTACATCGTGACGCGAGTCCGGCTATGGGGGAATGATTTTATGGCTGCTTGGCTTTTGGGTCGGGTCGGATCGGGTCTGTCTGGCCCGCTCCTTAGCCCAGTTTACGGCGACGCGGTAACGGAGCCGTGGAAGTGGTCGCCGTGTGGGCCATCACCGGCAGTGCCAGGGCGACGGGCGGTGCAAAACCACCGCCTGCATACTGCAGATGCTGCACCACCGACAGCTGAGGCTGCTGCTGCTTGAGCAGCTTGGCGGCCGCGTGCGCCTCGGCAGCCACCACTGGGTAGACCAGCTCGGCTCCGAGTCCTCCGGCTGCGTGGTGGGGGTTGCTGCTCTCGCAATCGTCGTCGTCTGAGATCAGTGATATGCTGAGGTCGCTGGACAGCTTGAGGGATATGGGTGTGGGGGGCGATGGCGCCACCAGAGGGGCCACTTTGGCACGCAGCGCTGGCGACAGCTTCTGCAGCTGCTCGGGCAGCAAATCGTGCGTATACTCAGGTACTCCGCTGGACGCGAGACCCTCACGCAGCTTGCTCAACGAGAGCTCATAGATGCGATTCGCAATGACCGTGTGCACGGTGGTTTCATCCGGCAGTGTGGCCGTTATCCCGCTCCCGACATCCACCTCCAGATATCCATCGTTGCCATGGCCGCTGCTGCTGCTGCAGCTGGCTCTGCCCAGGCCATTGGTGGTTGCTGTGCGCGGTGGTGCTGTCGGTATGTTGCAGCCTTTGTAGTTGCCGGAGTGAGGCGGGTGGGAGTGTCGCAGGCGTGCCTGGCAATTGGCAGTGGTGGTATTACGCGGCACCAGCGACACGGTTACCTCCTCGACGGTCTCCGAGAGTGTCAGCGGTGCCAGCGGCGGGGGCGAGCGCATCGAGTGCTGCCTTCGCACATACTTGGCGATGTCATTGTCGTTGTTCTCGTCGTCGCTGGTTATCAGTATGCTCTCAGTCAGAGATTGTGAGTGTATGGATGTGGCGGTGGCGGTTGCTGTGGATGTCCCCCGCCCCAGCACACACGTTGTTGTTGCAGCGTTGCCCTGGCGCATGGCGCCGTGTTTGGGGGGCCTTCGCTGTTGTCCCCTGCCGCTGACGCCGCCGCCGTCGTACTGATGGATGCTGAGCGTGGTTGCCGGTATAAGCAGCAAGTTCGGCTGATGCAGAAACAGGCTGTTGCACGTTGCTGACGCACCTGCAGGTATCGGCCAAGGCCTCGGCTCCACAATCGCATTGACGTCGTTGCCGTTGTCGTCGTCGTCATCATCTGACAGCAAATCGATAGTTACATCTGCAGGCAGTGTGGCGGTGGCCAAATGATGATGCCTTTGCCGCCTGCCACGTTCAGTCTTAGAGGCGAACGCCTGGGCGCGCATCTCGGCGTTGCATATCTGTTGGCGCTCACGCACGCGCTCCATCCACTTGCAGCGGCGTCGCTTGAGGCGCCTGTTGTCGAATAGCCTGGGCGATATGTAAAATGGTTCGGAATGTCTTTGAGTCATATCTGAAAGTGACAGAAATAACACAATATGGTAAAATCTGTAGGTGATGGCCCCTCAACCCAGCGACTCTCGGCCCAACCGTTCAAGTGCGTTCCGATTGTTGTTCTCCTTCCTTTTCCGCGGTCCTTTCCTAGCTCTTGTTGACCGATGGGGCGCCGTGCGAATTGTCCAGCAACTGTTGCACCTCCGCCACCAGCAGCAACACCACCTCCACCACAACCACTGGCAGCAACGCGAGTACAGTTAGATCTGCTGGCGCTGTTGTTACGGCTGCTGCAACTTGCATAATTGCGTCTCAGTGGAAAAGTGCGCTTCCGTAGCGGCTGCGCTGGTTTAGGCGCTCTGCCACCTTCTGCACAACATTTTGGTTTGTGAAGTTTGCCGCGTTCCTTAGTTTTCCGTACGCAATGCAGCTAAATGTTGCGCTTTTGTTGTAATTTTTGTGATTTCCGAGTCTGTTTATTTTGTGGTCAGTGTGACCGCGCACTTATGATAAAATATACCTATACCGCCAGACCCTCAGAAAAATATACCGAAACATACTTTCGCATACTCAAAATATACCGAAAATATACCAAGGAACAAAGAGAATTTAACCCACTTAACACCCCTCTATTAATTCATGTGAACACCTTGAGTTACACGGCGGAAAATAATACTGTTGGCTGATGCTCCTTGTAGCATCCATCCTTAATTTTTACTTAAATAAACAAATACCACTATATCTTTGACCTGAAATGCGTAATTAATTTTCAAGTGTCATGATTTTCGTGCTTAAATTGAAATAACCACTGGTCGACAATGGGTCAAGCGTTGGACAGGGGTCCATGATAAAAAATCATATTTCCCGATTTTGATATTCGGTTTAATATTACTAGCTAGCTAGGACTCTCAGCACTTGATATATAATTTTATCTGATAGATAATTATATTGTCTACAATTCTGAGGACTCCATTTTCTTGAATAATTTTTAAAATAAGGCGTAAACAAAAACGGCTAAAGCAAAGGAGTAAATGTGTATGGAATGAAACGATTTCAGCTATGAGTACGAACAAATGTATACCCTATTTTCTTTAATATATGTTTTATATTTGTTTTCCAAGCTGTTTGGAAAAAATTCTCTTAGATGGACATGGTTTTTACTTGGTGATGCATTTGATTTGTTTTCTGTATATGCTGGTACCGAAACCTATTCTTGGTCTCTGTAGGAATGCCATAATCTGCAAAATTTCATTGAGTTAGCTTTAAAACAGAATTAATATGAGCCCGTGATGACAAACAGTGTATCAATTCCATCATATCCTTTTCGCAACTTATGCAGAATGTTGCTAATTCCATGACCATGTTCCAGAACAATGCTGCTCTTTTTTTCTCCACATGCTGCTGAAACTTTTTCCATACAAAATGAAATGTATCTAACGGGAATGACGCAGCATTGTACCAGTGATGACCCGATGTGCGATGAATGCAAAAATATCGGTATTTTTGTGCGATAGGCGGAACGGTCACATGCCGAAAAGCTTGGCGCCAAATTTGAAATTGAATGCCGTTACACCATCCTTAAAACAGGCATTTAAATCAATTGAAATCCACCCAACGCCAACTCCATCTGCCACCCAGCCAAATGCACTGCCCCAAGTGCCAAAATAGAAATAAAAAATAATCCTAAAATCCACAAAATCCACTCGGAATCCACTCGTATCTAGCAGCATTTGGCGCCACCCACATTTTTGAGATAAACTCAAACTGCCAGACGCAGGCGCTTTGGCACCCTCTGCGCGGCTCAGGCGAAAGCTTTCAGTCGATTCGAGTGGCGGCAGAGCTTTCACTCGAGCGATTAGATTTTAGATTCAATTTGTTCAAATGAATCGTTTTGATTTGTACTTTGAATTAGTTTTGACAGGCGACCATTTGGGCAGCTGGAGCGAGGGAAGCCTGAAGCCGCGCCGCTCCTGAGGTGAAGACTCGGCCATCAGGCTCTATCCAAGAGCGACATATTCAAGGTCTTTTGCCATATGGGTAATCCAGTCACAAGGGATCTAGAGTCCTCTTTCCAGCCAGCCCCAGAATCATCTGCTGCTGGCTCCATTGATCATCTCTCTAAAGCGAGTGACACAGAGACACAGGATAGAGCAGAAATCCATGCAGATCGCAGCTCAGTTGTCAGAGGAACAGATGGAACGCAAAGACCTCAGTGGGGGTGCCAGGACTAAGCCCAGCAACCGCACGGTCCTGCAGCCCAACTTAGCTGCCACGCCGACTGATGTCACATGCCACTGCAGCGGCAGTGGGGCTATCATGTACCTGGCACAGACTCCACAGACAGAAAGAAAAATGCGGGCCAGCCTTAAAGAACTGAACGAATCGTGGGAATGCCCAAAAGTCAAATGAGCTCCAGGAATGGCCGGGATGGGGGAGGGGGGGATCCGCTTTAAGTAATTCACGCGAATGGCTCATTTCCCTAGCAGAAGGCGGCACACGAAGGGCGGGTCTGGGGCTGCCCTTGGCGAAGGATACCGCTGGTAGATAGGGCTACTAAGGGCAGGTGGGGCGGGGGCAATGGTAAGACAATAGACAGGAACCACAACAGAAATTATAGACTCTGGCCTGGCTTGGTCTGGGCGGGGGGCGGTGGGTGGAGTTTGGAGTTGGAGTTTGGCGCTTGCTTTGCGCTTGAATGCCGGCGTTGCACCGTCTTCTGTCTGCTGTCTGTTGTCCTCTGACTCTGACTCTGGCTCTGGCTGGCTGTGTGTGTTTGTTGTTTGTGTTTGTGGATTGCACTTTGGCCGTTTAAGCCCGTATCCGTGGAGGCAGCGACAGGCACAGGCACAGACACAGACACAGACACAGCCGCATCTTGGCGCGCCACACGCAGACGTAATCGACTCGCTCTGGCTTTGACTCCGTCTCCGGCTACGACCAGCACCCTCTGCCAGCCAAACGCTTCCTGCCATAGCCAAGTCCTGCCTCTGTCTCTGTCTCTGGCCCTACCCGACCCGCCCTTAACATTAAAATGAATACCCTTTGTAAAGACAACAGTGCAGAAAAAGGAGCACCAAGAGGACTGAGCACTGAGCACTGAGCACTGAGCACTGAGAGTCGAGCTGCAAGTCGATTTGAATGAATGCACGTCCTGGCTGCGCCACAGACCCCGATGCTGCAGCTGAAGCTGAAGCTCAGGCTGATGCCAGGTTTCACGACGCCAAGGAGATGGTGGTGAGGGGGGGAAAGCACCCTCGTCATGGTTCCCCAGCCCCCCCTCTCTCACGGTCTCTCTCTCTCTATCCACGACGATGCCGCCGTAGCGTCTTTAAGTGTTTGCCATCCTTAGGTGTTGAGTTTGCATTGTCTTTTTGTTATTCGCCGTCTGCCGCAGTTGTTTTGCTTTAGACATTCCCCGCCCCATGCCCCAGCCCCAGCCACAGCCAGCCCCCCCACCTTCCTGGCTGCTACCCTTTTGATTTTGTTGTTGTTGTATTCTTTATTGTGTTTTGGCATTACGCCAAATGTGCAAAGCCAACAAAATACCAAAAGATTGCACATTGCACCTGTCCTAGGAAGCGGCACTTTGTGAGCCACGCGGGGGTGTGGTGGGGGGCTGGCACTTCTGTTGCACGTGGCCAGTGGCTCATTGATGCTGATGAAGCAATAGGCTCCCCTGGCTAACGCTCTCTCTCGCTCACCCGCTCCTCTCTTTGATGATCATTTAAATGCGTCTCGGGAGTCGCGAAAGTGCTCTTCGGAGCCACCAAAGTAGAGCTCGTTGCTCAGACGAAACTTCATTTTCACTTTCATCTGCCAGTGGAAATCGAACTCTGCCCCATGGGAGGAATTCCCATGCCCATGCCCACAAGCTGCCTTTTACTTTGAAGACGAGAACGTAGCTTCAGATTCGGCAGCACAGAGACTACGATAATTGGAATCCGTTTATGTCCAGCAGCGACGACAATTAGATGGACATTGTCCAGTTGTCTCTCCGAGGGGGAGGGGGGGGGGGGCAAAGTGGGGGGGGCTGGCCGAGTGCTTCACTGGCTGAGCAGATGGTCCGTCTAAGTGGACTCTTAGGTGGACGGCAATCAAAGGCGGCCGCACCACCTGAAGCGGCGGCGGCAATATAGCAACTGGCAACTGGCTATCAGTATCGGTAACATGAGTCTGTGGCAGCGGTAAGTAGAAATTTGCGTCAATAGGATTGTTAAAGAGGCTTAAGTTAAATGGGAAAACTTCCGAATCAATGAACTGCAAATTGCATGCGAAATGCCAAAACGAAAATGTCGCCGGCCCCGGCACAACTCGGCTCGGCCCGTACAACTCAGCAAGCAGCGTGTCCTTCTCTGTGTGTGTCCTTCTGTGTGCGTTGCACGCATGTGTGTGTGTGTGTGAGAGAGAGTCCTGGAACCGGACTGTAGTCGCGAAACATAAATGTATTTATAGACAGATCCCTCGACATGCTCGCACATATGTGAATGCCGATTGAATGTGTCGTCCCTTTGCCTCAAAGTATGTCCCGTGACCACAGCCCTGGACCCATTGCAATGGCAATAAATATCCCCTTTTGGGGCCACTTGCAAGTGCGCTTGTAAATTCATCCTTGCGTGCGGCAATCGGCAGAGAAAACAGAGTTTATTTCATAAATTTGAGATTGTTTTCGGGCTGCTACAGCCCGACTGCAATCCCAGACTAAGTCCCACTCCTCAGTTCTCAGTGCTAGACTGACTCAGTTAATGGCAATTTCATTTTCTTGGGCAACTTACATACGACAAATACGACAGAGAGCGAGAGAGAGAGAGAAGAAAAGGAGAGACGATGACAGGAGGAGATTCAATTTCGCGCATTGTCTTTTTGCTCAATCCTTTTTTCGGAGTTTGGGAGGATGGCACAAACACCCGGTTGGGTCTTCTTTTGGCTAGAGATTCTGCTCGTAAACTTCCAAAATATGTTCTAGGGAACAGGGTTGCGGGTGGCACTTGGGCAGGGTGACTGGGTGACTGGGGAGGGAGTTACGTACTCGACTGCATGTGTGTCGACTAATCTGGACGAAGGATACGTGCTGTGTATGTGTAGCATGTGAGCAGAGAGAGAGAGAGAGATGGTGAGGGGAGTAGCAGAAATGGCTGTGGCTGTGGCTGTGGGTGTGGGTGTGCGTCCTGTGACGTTTGTCTGTGTATTATCCCTCGGTAATGCATGCAAAGATGCTGCAAAGTAGCTTAATACTTTATGCTCGCAATGAAAAGCCTTTTTACGATCGCATTATGCTTGTACCTACTTATATTTCTGTAGCTATATGTATGTATGTCGTGCGTCTATCTATTCGATACACAAACATCCATGGATGGAATACAAGTGAATGGATGGGGGCTCGCATTAACTTGCCCTATCTAGTGCGAGAGGATGAGAATTCCCTTCGCTCTTCTCCACGCAACTCCTGTATCGACTTATCGCATTTTACGTACACCAGGGTGGGGTGCACCCATG